CTGAATCACATGCACCGCTCTATCAATCAAAGTTGGATTTCAATATGTATAACAAAAAACACGCTGAGATATGGCAAAAAACACCTCACTAGAAAGGGAAAGACCTCCGACAAAGCTAAGAAGAAGATGAAACATGGTTGTAAAAAAAAGCAAAAATGCAGAAGACATGAAAAAATATATTTTTTTTAAAAAAATGCAACTTTTTACATTGGTTCTCTCATAAACTGATACAGCAAGTATTTAAAAAAAATATTTTATACATTGGTTCTATGGAGAGAGCTGATGTAGAAAGTTATTTTTTTTACGCACTTACTTTCTACATTGGTTTTCTAGAACAAACTGACGTAGAAAGTTATTTTTTTTACGCAATTACTTCTACTTTAGTTCTCTCAGAAAAATGATGCAGAACTTATTTTTTCTTAAAATAAACAAAACAAAACTTTCTACATTGATTCTATAGAGAGAATTGATGTAGAAAGTTATTTTTTTTACGTAACTACTTTTAAATTGATTCTCTTAGCATTTTTTTTGTTCTGCTTCTAATGGAACTGGAAGCTATTTTTTGAATATGTTAATAAACATAACAACGACTTAGTACTCATAAAGTAGCTCTTGCAACTAATCAATAAACAATGTGCTGAAGGCATTCCATTCCATACATGAATATTAAATTGGATTAGATAGAAAGTGAAAGAAAACATGTCATTTTATTAGTTTAATTTAGTGTTATATTTTTCTGGGTAAAAGTTCTGCCATTTACTAATCATTTGTGGGATAAGAATGAAAAAGAGAGAAAAGGAGAAAAACAAATAAAAAAAGGATGAAAACCATTAAGACAAAAGAAGAAGAAGAAGAGAAGAAGAACAAAAAATTGAAAATTGATATTCAAAAGAAGATTGCATAATTACATTATTGATTTCAAAATCTGTATATTTTGTGGTAACTGTATTGAGTATTATCCAATAAATTGTGTATCAATGAACATGAAGAATATGAACTTTCAACTTATAATTATCACAAGCTGAGAAAGAAGAAGAATATAAAATTACTAACCTTTTCATAAATTTAACTTAAATAATCGATTTCTTGTAATACATTTTAAACTGTTCTATTAAAATCAACTGTCTATAATATTTGATAGCTTTTAAAAATTATCTTTACCTTACTTTTTGCAAAAGAGGAGAGAATATTATAATTCAACCAAATAAGCATTCTTCTTTGGAAGCTAACACATCCATTTTGGTGCATGCCGCTAGAATTGGTTTATTAACTTTTGTAGAAAGTCGGGCGCTCCCTGTCAGGTCTAAAGGTTCTGAGTTATGCGCCCTTGTAATGAACGACTTTGATTGTATCATTCTTTTTGGGAATATATAACTTCAGTTCCAGTGTTTTAGCCCTGCATTACGTATGTTGCACACTCTTCTCTTTTTTCTTAAGGAAATTTGTGTCCCTTTGTCTTTTCCGGTTGCTCTTCATATCGACATTTCTTACAATTTGCTTTTGTTTAAGACTTAAAACAATAGTCTCAATTTTAATTAATAATTGAGTTTTTGTCCCGATCACCGTATTGACTCTGGCACTGCCGGAGAGTGATTGTGGCATGGCAGAGATGGTGGCTGAGCTATGAAAAGTTTTGCCAGAGAGTATCTCTATGGACTGGAGTTTTGAGAACCGAGGGGGAATGTAGCTGCGAGGGAAGTGAGGGAATATATATCTTCTACTTTTCGTGACGATTTGGGCTCTAATTGAACCATAAACCAAGAATCGTGCAAATTTACGCTTGAGAGTAATTAAACTCAAATTGAGTTATGAACTATGTTGCATGGACACGGGTAAGGGATGCGGCATTTTCTAAAAAAAATAGGGTACGGTTATGTCAATTAAAATAATAATAAATAAATAAATAAATATATATATATATAGACACAAAATTGTATAAAATAAATATAAAAAAAATTATATATAAAATAAAAGTACATAAATTTTAGCATATGTGTGGCTTGCTATTGTCGAAAGAGATGGTCACCAAACTTGCTATCATTATCATTTGTTGTTATTGTTCATTGTTTGTCGCTCACTAATGAAAGCTTATGGTTGAAGTTTGAGATGAGAGGAGAAAAAAAACATTATGCAGTCTGTAGGTATGTGAAAGCCCAAAGAAGTACTAATATGTAAAAATTGGAGAGAAGAAAGAGACAACTAAATCAGATTTTTGGAGAAAAAATACCTAAAACTCTAAAATTTTAATTAAAAAAATTTATTTTCCGTACCCGAGTACCCACTTCCTATACCTAACTTTTTTTTTTGCAAATGTTTTTGGGTACGTACCCACAGTGTACCCGGTACCGGTACTTCATGGAAAATGCTGTACCCATGCTTCTGAGATTATGAATAAGATACCTTTTTTTTAGTTTTAGCTTAAGATTTATTTATTTAAATAATATATAATTGATGAATAAATTTGGTAGAGTAACTAATTAAGAGTACGTTTAAGAATAGTATTTAATTAAGTATTTGTTTAATAAATCATTTTTAAATGAGAATATATTATATAAATTAATGATAAAATTATTAGAACAAGATAAAAAATAATTTATCATAATAAGTTGTATAATTTTTAAAATAAATTAAAAATAATTTATGAAGTTAACAAAATTTTATTTAGTTACATTGTAATAATCTTTAAAAATTTATTCATGTAATATTTGAAATTATAAAATTTTAATTTTTTATTTTCAATTTATTTTTACTGAATTGCTAATCTTGTATTTTAAAAAGCCTTAACATATTTTTTCTTTTTTCTTTCTTTTACATTTATTAAATATTATTTTTGATATCATAGAATTATCAAAATTACAATATAAATTATTTATATTATTTTATTTATTAAAAATATTGAAAAATATAATAAAGTTAGAAACTTTTATTGTGTTAACAATATCAGTATTTAGCATTTAATTAACCAACTTGTATTAATGACTTTTCCGATGAGTTAAGAGCGCACCAAGTTAACGTCCATAGATTCATTAATGTAAAGTTGGTTATATTTATAAAATATTTTAATTTAAACTACTAGTTTATATTTAGTTACTTATTTGGTATCTATTACAAAAGATGTATGTATTTTCCTTTTAACCTTTTAAGTCGCAGGAAATCTTGTGTTTTCTGTCAAAGTCGAGATACAATGTGCCATAAGAATGTGTTCAGCTTTATTGCAGCAAGTATTGGTTTTTACATGCAAAGTTGCCATGCATGTTTAGAATGTGCCTAGCTATGCAAGGTCTTGTTTTTTAAATTCAAAGTTGCTATACATGTTTAGAATGTGCCGAGATTCATGTAAGGTGTAGTGGCCACAAATTCTTTTTTCTTTTTGACTTATAGTCTCTTTTTTTCAGTTTGAAGTGATTAGGTTAATTATGTGCTGACTAGTTTTGTATTTTTTATATTAAATTTTCCTAAAATTCAATTTACATGTTATTATCGTGATAGTCATATCTTTTCTAGCATTTTCGTCTCACAAAATTTGTATGGTTAGGATTTGCTTTGTAGACCCTATAGTTTTTATTTCAAAATTTTGTCAAATTTTTAAAGTCATCAATCACCTTTACATTTACTCTTATTATTGACGTATAGTTTACATATAATAAAAAAAATGATGAATTTGTTGCACAAAAATGTTTTGAGATATATTTTAAAATAATGTGTCTTGACTCATCATGGAAAAATCAAATTTATTATATCATTGTTTGAGAAGCTTCCTTCAATTCATACAAAATGTAATTTAAAAATTGAAGTTAATTTACCATTTGTATGCTTTCTTCAAGTCATCTTGTGTTGTTCCCTTGCTCTAAATCTCCATGGATTTTTTTTACACTCAATTGTTCAAGCACAAGATCTTAAACTAGCCACCAGTTTGAGTACAACTTAGATAAAAACTTTTTTTTAAATTGAAAGAGGATTTCATAAAAGTTTTATTATTCACTCTTATACCAAACTTTTCACAACTAAGCAAGATTTATATTTCAATAGTTCGTCACCGACTTTTTAAAGCTTGAACACCCTTATTCTTGAAGGCTTTTCTGCCTTCAACAAGTTTAAAGCCTTCAAGAAGTTTCACATACTCATGATGAGTATCATTTTCTGTAATGAATCAATCTTTTTCATCGCATACCTCTTAGCAATTGGACTTCATAAATAGTTCTTCCCAAATAATTATAGATGCACTTTTATCTACATTACTACTAGATGAATGATGCCCTCAAATATATGTTGGGCTGCAGTAGAAGTCATTGTTTTTCCTTCTTATCAGCTTCATGTTCAAAATCTTTTGTTGCTTGCTAATCAACAACTCTAAGTTTTTATGTTAGAAAAAAATTATAAAAGAGATCAAATTTACAAAATTTTACATAATTTTAAAATTAATAAATATTTTATCATATTACTGCATTTTAACATATTTAAATAAACTTATACTGACATATTACATGTCTAAAAATGTGTGATTGATATAATAATTACATGTCTAAAAAAAGAGAAGGAGAAGAAAAGAAAAATATAAATATAAATTAGTAGTGATGACAATAACTATAATAATAAAAATTAATAGTGATTATAGCGTAGTAATAACTAAGACAATAATTATTGGTGATAATAATATTAACAATAATAATTAAGTAGTAATATAAATAAATTAAAAAAATAAAAAGTCAACTATAAATAATATGAATTAATACTTTGCATATGTTTATTTTGTTTAGTAGTTAGGACATCAGAACTTCATCAAATGAAAAAAAAAATTCTGGCATATTATTTACCGTTGAGATGCCTTAAATTTAATATTATAAAATCATTAAAAAAAAAAAACACATGCAATTTTATTATGATCTCTTAATTTCCCACACATTAAACAATTATTTGAGGGTCTATGATAAATTTAAAATAAAAAATGACTCCTAACACAATCGGATCCAAACTAGCCAACAATAACGATTACAATAGTCGGCGAATATATAATCAGGAAAGATAGTAAAAAAAATGAAAAATTTATATATACTTATATTTTACACGTGAATTTCTCGGCTGAGGAAAAAAGTTAAACAGAACCTTATTAACATCATGCACAAAAAAAAAAAAAAATAAAAAAATAAAAAAATAGACACTGCAAATGAACATGATATTTATGATATCCTATACCTCTAAATCTTCTAATAAAGCACATTTCAAGACACTAATTCCCTGCAATGTTAAGTTTTGCAAAATTCTTTCGCCAGTCTGTTTCCAGCTGCATCCACCCAACAACTGTAACCTTAGCTGATGACACGCTTCAAAGGTGCGTGATCATTCCAATGACGGTGGATATGCTTCTGGATTTTGTAACAGACATGTAATTGAGGGTACCAGGTTTCAAGGAAGATTGAATAATGTTGTTGACTTGAGAAACATGAGAATGTTTACAAGGTTTATGATTAGACTCATCAGCATTATTTTGTTTGGAAGTATCACTATCAAAAGCAAAACAATAAGAATGAAGCCAAGTGAGACCAACAATTACATATCAATTTGAACATTTACTATAATGCACAAAATTAAATGGTCCAGCAAATAATGATGGAAACAATACCCGATTAGTTTCTGACTTTTTTTAATAATTCGTGCACTCATGGAGGGTTGCATTATGCCACCACTAATTTTGGAAGTTTCTCTAGGATAAGGTGAAATATCCTGCATAGCACCGACAATTGAACAACATATTAGAGTCTCACCCTTACACCATTTTTTTTCTCTCTCTTTTCATGTTAAAACCTAGCAAGTGCTGGTTTATAAATTATGATTCATGATGATCTTGTTGGACCTTGTAATGGTCCACATTAAGGGATTCAAATCATGTATAATTAGCACTTACTCTTTGCCCTGGACCTCCTATAGAAAACGGTTGTGGTTGAACTAACACATCTTGATCATGCAAAGTTTGTACAAATGCATGCTTAAGAAGCGTTGCTGCAGATGGTCGATCTGCAGGGTCCCTTTGGAAACATTGTTGGAGGAAATCCTTTCCCACTGAAGATAAAGATTCAGGTATAGGTGGGGACTGTTGCAGTACCTTGAACATAGCTGAAGGCTAATGATAAATAAAATACAACTTTGTTATTAAATTAACAATTACATAAGAAATAAGCATAAACAGTGTATTAATGTAAAAACAAGGAACTGTAAAAAGGGGGAAAATGTGATAAAATAAGAATTGTCTAAACTTTATTTTAACTCAAATTTATTGTGTCATAATTCTTGGAGCATGCAACATAATGTAAATGTATAGCATAATTGTTTGTCATTCTTCTTTGAAGGAGAATTATTATGTAAAGCCATACCCAAAGAAGTGAAAAGGTGAACTAACACAAAAAATTACCCATCTGTTTGGTATATTTAGGTTAACATTCTCCTCTGCCTCTTACTAATTTTATATTGAACCGACATACTACATGCACAAGCCTTGACTATAATGAGTAAACAAGCATAAGAAGGTGATTACCCCTGTAGATTCACTCCAAGGAGGTTTGCCCGTAAACATTTCAATGATGGTGCACCCTAAGCTCCATATATCAATGCCCATGACAAGGTCTGGATTGGATTCATTCTTTATGGAACCTTTCACAACCTTAAATGGACAAATTAGAGTCAAAACGGGCATGTCATTACCCATCCAAAACACTAAAGATTATTCAAGCACAAAAATTACCTCTGGAGCCATCCAATTAGGAGTACCCTTTAGAGAAAGTTCAAATGCATTACCCATCAACTGGAAAAAGCGGATTTATCAGTTAGCAACCCCATCATAAACTAACAGAATATCTACATATCAGTCTAATTACCAATCTACACAGATCATACAAATATATATATAAGTATAGAATTTAAAAGCTTACAATTTTCGACAACCCGAAATCTGCAAGCTTGACAATGCCTGATTCATTTACCAGCAAGTTTGCACCTTTGATATCTCTAAAGAATCAAATCAACCATTTCAACAAAATTCATACAACAAAGTTACAATGGCACAGAAAAATGTTCTGTAGTAGACCATTGACTATATAAAATAAGGGGAAAAAAATCATTTGATCTTTTAATTTAAATGTTATAATGTCACATTTTAGCCAGATTCAGCTTGTGCATCGCTTATCAATATATTTTCTTATGAAATATAATAAATGGCTATTTAGAGAAATAAAATAGATATAATGATTCCTTTCATCAAACATAGTTGTCACCTGTGGATGGTTTTGTTACTGTGTAAGTAGGCTAATCCAGAGAGAATATGTCTTGTAAAATTGCGAACCACAGATTCTGTAATAGCTCCACAATGATCACGAATAAATTTATTGATTGATCCAGGGTGAACATACTCCGTATTTATGTACAAATGATTGCCAACCTGAAAAATGTCTTAAAATTTTGGTTAGGTTGTATTGATTACACTTGGATCAAGAAGTTATCAACCAACAGTTAACTCACTATTTCACTTCCATAATACTGCACAATGTTGGGGTGGCGTAGTTGACGGAGAATTTTGATTTCCTGGAACAAGGAACTTTTAAGAATAACAGCCTAAACACCATCCAATTGGCAATGTGCCAAAGTGATACAAAATCACAATGAAAAGGGAAATATAAAAATCTATAGGTATAGAAACATGCATTGGAATTCAAAATTATTCAGAAACTGTACTGCCAGTGTAATAGACATCAAAAATTAGTTTCTTTAAGTCAGAAAATAAATCTTAGTAACAAGGGATGTCGTGGAAAGCAATCCCTTGTCTTACTTTGTTTTTCTCTATTGAAAGCAATCTTTGGTTTATTTATACTAGTCATCAGAAGGTTAAATTAATCTGTTAGTTCTTGTAACTATTTAAGAATTTTTAAATAAATCTCTATACTTTAAAAGTTTTTAATTAAGTCCTTTAATTAATAAGTTATTTTTAGTTAGATTTTTGGCTAAGGTTATCTTAGTTTTCATTAGGATTCCGCTAAAACACAGAAATCTATTTAAAATTCTAAATAGTTCAAAAAGTTACTAAATAATTAAATTAACAACCTAATTTTTTAATTATTTTAAACATTTTAAATAGGTCCTATGCTTTGACAGTGATCATACCTACTATGTAAGTCCAACCAAGGACCTAAGTAAAAATGATTTATAAGTTTAAAGACTCAATTATTAACTTTTAAAACCTAAGGACCTGTTTAAAAATTATTGAATAGTTTATGAAGTAACAGGTTAATTTGGAATTATAATAAGAATCGATTTTATTTTTAGTCCAAAGTCAAAAATCACAGGGTGTCTTAAGTCTAAAGGGTACAAGACTAATTCCTCCTCACAGTTCGTGATTAAGGCTGGCCTGAGACAAGTTTGCACATGGTTAAATTCGAACGCGTGATCTTCTGCTAAATAAATCAATTACGTACATGTAAACGCAACCAGACCTTACACCATTAGGTTAACCCTTCAAGTTTATAACAATGGATTTGAAAACACAGCAGTAATTGAAGAAATATTGATAGGAGGGAAAGATGAAAACAAGTTAAGGCCATTGCTAATATTATAAAGATTAAGGATCAAAAAAATAATCCTCAGATGTTTCAAGTAAAGTTAGATGATAAAATTTTTACATCGGTATGTTTTAAAAGGTATAAGCATGATAACTATAAGTCTAAATTGGTAAGAGATTTCAGATAAATAGATAATTAAAGCACACTCTCTTTATCTTAATCTTAGATCGAGATCATACTCAAATTAGCTTTTACGTCTCATTCACAACAGAAGTTAACTTGCAGTTGTAGGTGTTTAACTCCAGTGTCAATTCTATAGCAACATTTAGGGTCAAGCAAAAAAAGTGTTAAATGGAGTTGATTATTCATATTCTTACCATATTAACTCAATACTATTTTCTCTTAGCCATATTTTTCAACAAGGTTTAAAAAAAATGGAGGGGAAGAACCTGCTCCAGTTGTTTGATGCACTCAGCAGATGTAAGATCATCAGGAATTATATCGACCTCCTTCATGGCACATGAGGCTCCAGTCTCTCTATTACATAAACAATAACGCACGTGAGTAACTACATAAAAAGGGCATAATTTTTTTAGCACTTGATTGAGAACTAGTAGCCAGAAGCAGAACAATTAAAACGAAATGCATACAGGTTGGTTGCATGAAAAACACTTCCAAAGGTACCACGTCCAATAAGTTTTCCTTTCTGCCATTGACCCTTCACCGAAGGCCAATGTTCATGATGCATGGCACTTGATTGATACAGCATGGGTAATTGTGATGATGATGATGAGGCTCTAGGAGGAAGAGGTAATGGATGTGCATCAACATGGTGCAAAAATTTATGATGCTGAGGTCCCTCCTCTATAGTGTTAGCAATAAAGAAACGATTAAGGCTTAGTGGGCAATGAAGAGGACAATGGTTTTCACTATGAACAGTTTTACCTGATAACGTTTTCAAATTCGTGGTAGAATAAAAAAAATTATCTAGTTTGCTTGATCTACATGGACTAGTAATAGGACTGGAGACAGCACTTGTTGGGGCACTTTTGGGTTTTGTAGAAGCACTCAAGTTCAAGTCCCAATTACTTTCAGAATCATCATTATAAGAGACTGTTCTGGGGGTTTTCCATGAACTATTGTTGCCTGCATTAATAGCAACAACCTAAGAAGGTAAAAGGTGTCCAATATTCATTTCTCGATGCATAAAATAAGAATGGAGAGAAACAATCACCTGTTAAGAAATTTGAGGCAGGAATATGGCCTCTAAGATTGTGTTTTGCATTTGCAAGAGCAGAATCTAAGGAAGATTTATCCAAATTGCGTGAAGGTTTTGTATTTGTCATTGCATCATGGTTCACTGTCTTTCTGATGGTTTTGGCAAGGAGAAAAATTATTGCAATGAATCAACAATATAAATGCTAATTACTGAAAACCGGATCCAAATCATCGTATATACAAGTAATGCATTTTATCTGCTCGTATCAAATTCAAAACAAGTTCAAATGATCAAATTTCATATAAATAACGTAATAATAATAATAATAATAACATTAATTCTTCAGAAAACAGTTCTGTTATTTAAATGTGTACATATTCGTACCCTTCCCCATTAACGAATATTAAAACGTGATTCAACAATATTTTTTTCATGCTTAGTGAATCACTCTACGCCGTTCTTACTTTTTTTTTTTTTTCAATATTTCAAAATATAGTTTATATTACCTTGTTGACTAATTGAGTCTTCATTAAGCTATAACTTTTTTAACTAGAAGGGACTGAAGCTTTTTTTTTTTTTTTTTACAAATTAGAACTTCTGAGTAAAAACTCTCGTTACATCATAAAAAGCAACTTATACAAACTTAAAAGGGGCCGATCATATAAACTAATTTAGTATCATAAGAAAAAATTATATTTTTACACCCATCTTTTTAATATTTATTTTATTTTATGTTTCTGTTTCTTTTTAATTAGATCATCCATCGTATTTTTTTTATTTCTATATCTATTATTGACAAAAAAAATTGGTTCCAATTTTTATATTTGAAACATTCACCTTTGTTTTACCTTACTCTTTTTATAGCTCTTATTATTATTATTATTGTTATTATTATGTCACATTATTTATCACAATTTTTTAATCTTTCTTTTCCTCTTATATCTCTGGTTAAAATAAATAGAGTTCAAAATCTATATTTGAATTGTACTGAAGTTTTCATTTTTATTTTTATTTTTTATTTCTGTTCGTTATCTTATCTGCAACGTCGTGAGAAGAGAAGACGAGCAAGGCATTATTCTAGCGCATTTTCAAAGATGAAGCATACATGTTTACCTCCAAACAGAAAAGCCATGATGTTCCAACGAAGAACACGGATGGTGGCGATGTACGGAATTGGGGCTAGTTGACTCGGCCCCGCGGGTCAACGGAGACTCGGGAAGTGGCAGCGGTTGCGGCGGGGCGGAGTAGGACCGGTGGTCGAAACCGCGGCGGCAACGAGATTTGAGGCATAACTCAGGTGAACCCGGCAACGAAAAAAGCTCAGGGGAATACAAGGACCCAATGTCTTGGTCGCTGAGGTGCCGGAGTTTCCTCAATCTGGTGAGCCGCCGCGCCGGATCACAATTTCCGTCTTTGGCATCTCCGTCGTTTGGGTTGGTTCCAATCGACGGTGAAGGAGAAAACGGTTTGTGAGAAAGAGGCATTTGAGAGAGTGGTGGTTGTTAAAGTGGTCATGTGAAAGTGGTAGCAATAGGATTGGGCTCTGCTAATGTATTAGTCTAACTATAACATTGCAAAGCCATAGAAACACCTTCGGAAACATCTACGTTGTTTCTACGGAGTTCGTTTGAATTACTTATTTCCAACCAAAAATGTCTTGTTAATGAAATAATGCACATTTCACTAAATCCATAGGTCTGACTTTGGGTTAAAGCTTATTTTTGTGGACGGAGCGAGTTTAAGTTATATCTAAATAGTTGAAATGGGACTTGGTTGGGAGGGATTTGAGTAAAAAACTTTACCACTTATTTCATGTTTTGTCAAATGTATTTTGTCACTAATTACTTGGCGTGATTAAAAGATCGAGATGTGGAGTATGACATGATAATCAATTCATAATCTATACGTAATTAGAAATTAACGGACGGTGACAAATTGACAAGGATAGAGTCAAGGTTGACCAGTACTCCATTGCCATTACTCTATTATAAACCGTTAATTAGTATTTTACTATAAAGATGCTCATAACTTATTACTGAGCTATTAATTTAACAATATTTATATACAAATGTAAAAATGTTTTTTGTCAAAATTCTAAAAGATGTTATTTTTGCTAAAATTATTTTCAAATAAAAATATAAAAACAAATGGTAACGTATAATTTTACTTTTCAATAAAATGAAAGTAAGAGTTTGAAAGATAATTGATGCATATTTAAATGTGGATTGTCAAGTGTCAATTAGTAGCTAGTATGGGTTGATATGATTATGATGAGAAGGAGCCAACTCCACTCAAAGCCGAAGTGCAGAACAATTCGTTTCTTCAAAGTCCAAACAAATACCAAAATACGACTACCGACACCTTCACTCGGATTCATGGAAAGTACATTACCCATTGTTTGAATGGACAATGAATAGGTAAAAAATTAGCAAAGGGGGAGATATAAATCAAATACATATATTTAAACTCTATCTTACTTCTTAGCACTGTTAAATTAATTCATTTTATCAATTCTAATTTTAAACATATAGAAATACTAATTTTTTTTTTTTAACTTACTACATGCTTGTGTATTACGCATAGAAATTATTAGAGAACTGAAAACAGAAATAATTTATTTGAAGTGTAGAATTAAATTTGACAACACAACAACATGACACTGACATTTGGTTTTTTTGTCAACAACATGATACTGACATTAATTATTGTTTTTGTTGGTTCATGGGCTTCCACAGTACGTAATCTGTAGCCCAACACTGAAAGGCCATCCTATCCAATTCATAAGCCCAACCCAATAAAAAACATAAAGAAGAGAAAGAAATGCGTAAAAACCCTATCAATTTTAAGACAGGAAGCTACCCCGCAAAAAGTCGCTAAGCAAAGAGCCCGCGAAATTTATGACCGGCGGGAAAACTTGACCGCCGAAACCGGCATGGTCCGTCGGAGTCTATGAAGCTGAAACAGTTTTTCTTCAATAAAAACTTTCCATTTCCATCGCTATTTTCTCTCTCTTTTTCCCCTAGAAGTTGTTTTCCCTTCTCCACATCCTTCACTCCCAATCGCCCCAGAGTAACGCACTCCTTCGACGACGTCGTACCGGGCTGCAGCGCAGTTTACCGCCACGCCCTCAAATTCCAGCGTCCGGCAATAATTGAGTGGAGCCCATACCTGGAGAACACCGCTAGCTTCATTGGCTCGGTCACGCGCGCACCGAAGCGCGTCAACTCAAAAACCGGCAGGTTTGGAGTTCACACCGTGTTGGAGGTCCAAAGATCCAACCAACCAAATATCTCCTCCTTCCAGTGCGTTTTTATTTTTTAATTTAAATTAATTATTTTAATTATTATCGCTTTAATTGGGAGGTTGTGATCAAAACGACATTATGATCTGCTTTTTGTTGGCAGGGTACTTGTGATGATGTGGAACAGTGTGGCAGAGCTTGCTTGGGAACACTTGAAAGCAAATGATTTTATTTATGTTTCAGGTTGTTTGGGGTCTTTCAATAAAACTGATGCCAGTGGTAACCTCCGATTGGGTTATAAGGTTCATTGCTTTATTTTTTGCTCTAAGTAAATTACAATCAATGTCTTTGTTGTGTTTTTTCTCTTTTTTTTTTAGTGTGTGTAAATTGTGCACTTATTTTTCTACAGCTACTGGTGAAGGAGTTGGAATTTGTTGCTCAAAGGCCTGGCTATCAAGACCTCAAGAAATTGAAATCCGTTGAAGGTATGTCAGGTTGCTTATGTTTTAGAACACTTGTTTTTCTTTGGTTATTATTGTTTTAGTGTTGTGGAGAATGTTGCTAAGTAATTGATAATGTTGAGACATATTCTTAGACAAACAAAGTTTTAGCACAAACAAGTGCAGATTTGTTTTAGTGAGAAAAGAGAAAAAGGACATAAATTTATCAACTTCTGGGAGACGAATAATGATTTAGGACAGCTTAGTTGATCACTTATTCAATAAAATCTTATTATATGAAAGTTTATGACAAATTCAATTATGAAACGTTGAAATAAGTCTTAAAAAATTATTTTGATGAGTTATATCAATGAATTAATTGAAATATGCTAAAAAGTGCTTCAAAAATCAAAAGTTTCTCATGAACTCATCCAAACGTCTGCTCAGTAAATCTAGCAAGTAGAGTGGAAAAGGAATCTCAGAAAGATCTTTTATGTGATTTTTATGCATATTTAGTGATCACATTTTAGATAACTATCGTTAATAGACGAGTTGTTGTTATGCACTTCAAGCCATAGAAGTATGGCTACCTACAATCTGGGATAGACGAATATGCTGTTCTTGCTTTCAAGTTCCCTAGTATCTTTGGTTACACCAGGGAACGCGATTTTGTGTCGTTCCCGATTGAGTTGTTTCTGTAGTTTTTGTGGTTACTTCATTGATCTTGAACTGATTTATTTTCAAAATTTCATGCTTTTTCCTATGCTTATGTATGTTCTTATTCTTCTCATCTTAAACAAATATAGCTGAATCTGGCAAGCAAAATGGTCAACATCGGCTTTATCTTTGGCAAGTGTTTTTTGCCAATCCAAATGAGTGGTGGGATCAACGAAAGCGCAAGTTAAATCCGAAGCAGCCTGATTTTAAGCACAAGGACACTGGTGAAGCTCTGTGGCTGAGTAAATATGATCCTCCATGGGTTAAAAGACAACTCCAATTCCTTGACTCAAAAATTGCCGGAGGAGGATTTGTAGGTCGTCGTTCTCGTGTCGCCAATTGGGTTTATGATGAGTAGCTGAAAGCAACAAAAGAATAGACTATGGTAATGGAACCATATACATAATTTTACAATTTATGTCAGGGAATTGAAAAACTATGATTATGTTTGTGGCGCTATGCTCTAGGCAACAGTTGTCAGCCATAAGAAAATTTCACTTGATAATCACTCAATAGCCTAAAAGAATGAAAGAAATATTCATTATTTGTATATTCATAGAGTGATAGATTTTGTTTATTTTCAAAAAATGATTTCTTTTTCGATTTTTGAGAACTTTTAAAAAAGTTATTGATTCCTAAAACAAGCTATTATCAAGCATGAGCTCAGTTATTTGTATGGCAAATTCGTGTACCATATTCTTGTAGACACAAGTAAAAACCCTTTTACAAATATTTCTATCACGCCTTTTATTTTATCAGTCATGTCTTCCCTTTTCTTTTTTTGTACAACAAGAAGCATTTCTCTTCTGATTTTGGATCCATTATCCATATACAGGGTAAACTAACAAATATGATGATATCGTATTTTAAAACCCGAAGGTCATGAATTCAAATCCTACGAATAGTCTCTTCGCATGTGGGAAACAGATTTTGTAAACTTATCCTCTTCAAATGGTGGGTCTATCATGTATTGTGCTGCTGTTTTATACAATTCAAAAAAATCTAAGACATCAAAGTTGCTTAGAAACTCTTTTTTCACCCGTATATTGCCTACCCATGTTGGAGTTCAGTATGATTTATGACATTACCAAGCATCTTACTCCTTCCAGCTATTTTTATAAGTTATGTTTTTTATAAATATAAATTTTATTTTAAAAATATTTATAACATTAAATGGTATAGTTAGTAATTTATATATTTAATGATACTAATAAAAAAAATATAAAAGAAATTTAATAATTAATGTATTTTAAATCTCTCATTTATTTTTTATAATAAAGACTAAAAAAAATATTTTATTTTGTTTCTTGTAAGAAGACGGCATAATTTTTTCTCGCTTCAATATTCCTTGGTGAAATCAACTTCCCATATAGCAACTACACTGTAAAACTTCCTATATAGCAACACTGTAAAAATGAGTGCCTGAATTTTGAGTAAATGGCAATTCGAGGAGTGTCAGCAACTTCATGCTCGAATGACATTTATAAAAGAAAAACGTCAAATGCAAGCGAAAGATATACTTAAAGAACGTTGGTTAATATATCCCATCGCCATTTTAATGAGAATCTAAACTAGCCTGTTAAAAAGCTATTATTTATCTTCCTTTAGAACTGTTGAACAAAAAAGATGCTCCTTTGAGACTGCTCCAAACAAGGTAATATTCGTCTTTGTTTATGTTTATTCCATTATTCTTGGCTTGTCAATTTAGGACTTGCTTGGCCGTATTGGTGGTGATGGAGGTGTGCGTTTGTCTTGGTGTTATCCTCTCGAAATTCGATTGATAACTAATGAAAATTCCACGTCATGGTTGCATATAATCAGTGCATCTTTCTTTGGCGATGTTTCTACTAAGTTTGTATTGCTTTTGTTATGTTGGAAAGTTTTGGAAGCGTGCAGTGAAGCGATTCTTATTAAAGTGATCTGAAAAGTGTTTCTTTCAATTCTTGGCACGTTGAATACAAGTTTTCACATTTGTTGATGTTCCTTTGGACGGAGACAAAATGTGAACCTACTTAATTCCCTGGCAAAGTCGTTATACACTTTTTTACTTTGTAACCAAAAAGTAAAAAAAAAAAAAAAAAAAAGTCGCTAACTCTTTAAATACTACGGCATAAGGGCAAGTTTTATGCATTGACCAGAAAAAAAAATAAAGGGTAAGTTTTATGCTATCACAAACAACCCCATGAAAACATTTAAAAGTTAGTGCTGTGGTGGTCCAGTGGAGACTATAAGGGGAGGATTCACTCCAGCGGTCCAATTTTAAATTTGTGCACAATTGTAGGGTAGTCTCAAGAGTCAAGGCTTTGAAAGCATTTTGTTTATCCATAGATCGCTTTTAATTGGGTTTTCTTTTCTTTTTACATCACTCATTTTTCTTTTTTCTAATCAAAACATGCCCCTTTTTCGAAAACAAAAGTCTAGATTGGATTAATTATTTTCAGAAATTAAATTCCCGATGATGATTACTTGGAAGGCTATTGTGGAAATCACAATGGATGCCATGATCCTTTGAAATTGTTTTTTTTTAGTGCAAAGGAAGCTCACACTAGGGTTTACAAAGCGAAATACGAGAGGGGTTAAAAGAATGAGAAAGGGACGAAGACATTGCAAGAAATTGAACTTACACTACTCACAAATTTTGTTTAATAATTTAACTGAGTTGAGTCGATGGGACATACTCAATTTGAACTTTGGAGAGAACATTTATTTGAAAATTTTGGCTTTGGATCCTCTCTATACATTTTTTTCAGTCTTCCATGACCAAGATCTAAGCCATTAATTAATTTTATAGATAGATAGATAGATAGATATCAACTCACGGTCTAATTTTTGAATGGAGAAAGGATGGAAAGAAAATGAATGGAGAGAATCCATACACATGGTTTTTTGGTTTTAGTGTTACTAGAAAACGGTATATGGTAATTTTGACTTCTACATAATCTTCCTCTATCACTTTATATTTTCTAAAATATTATGCTTTTACGATGTAAGGAAGGCACCCATGTCAGGAAATTTTATAATAAAATATTTTTTGTAAAATAAAATCATTCTAAACCCTTAATTTGAAGTAAGAGAAAAGAGATGTTTGAATATAATATGTTATATCATTCATGCTTTATTTTGTGTTAAATTGTCCAAATAAAAAACTCTTGTCATTCAATTTCATTCAAATATGACATGGCCTAGCCACCTCTTTCTTTTGTTTTAATACTCGTGATTTGTTTAGATAAAATAAAATAAAATAACTAAAATATGAATAGTGATGTGTTTTTTGTTTTATTAAAAAAGAAGAAAACAATGCTCATATAAAATACATGCTCAAGTATATTATTAAAGTTGCAGCTACATAATTCAAGTATATATGGTGTGAAATATATGTTTCTGCTCTCTTTATTTTGATCAGTATATTGTGGGTCTCCACAGATGGAAATTGAAACCCTCATCTTTTGTATTATTGTCATCAACTAAGGTTACAAAATCTTCTAAGAATTGAATTATTTCAAGTAGAGACGAAGACCATTAAGGTCAAGTTCTACACTTCTCATCATTTTCTTTTTGACCCCACACTTTTCCCAGATTAGTACACACTAAGGAATAAATCATCATTTTTAATTTCTAATTTTATTAGATTTTATAAATTTATATTTAATTTCATAACACGTTTATTTTAGTCTTTAATTTATTAAAATATATTTTATATATTCGCTATAATTAACTAACATTAATGGCATCAAACAAAAATACTTATTTAATACACTAAATTTTAATCGGATGCACAAGTGACATGTCCACTTTTAAAAATGTATATTGTTAAATTTTTCATTTAAATTCATTTCTTCTCACAAAAATTTTAAAATTCTTACCTTCTCCCTCATTTGTCTTAATCTCCATTGACACTCGTTATCTAATTTTTAATATTTAATTAATTATTAACATATTAAGTTGATATTTAATGTATACATTAATATTTTTATTAAATTGAAGCTTTTATTATGATAAAGAGGAAACTAAAAAATTTATTAAAAAAATAAAATTAAAATAATAATTTACTCTTAGGTATATTCCATTATCAACAATCATACATGCATCCAATGTTTCTAGGTTGGCTGGGGTATAGTGGTCATTGCAGTCGTCAACGGGTCTCTTTTCGCGTTGACGATGTATCTCTTTATCAAAAGAAAAATATTAACAACGTATTATTTTTAATTTACTATTTGATAAACTTTTTATAACTAATTGATTTTAAAAAATTAAAATAATTTTTAAAGAAAAATAATTTATAAAATTAGTGTTTTAACTTTTAAAAATTAATTAATCATAAAAAAATATACTGAAATAAATAATGACCATTCAATGGCGATTATGCTTTTATTTATCGATTAAATAATAAGTTAAACAAGTCCGTTTAACATATCATTGTAGAATGACATCCTGTGTTGATTGGTGGTTGGAATGCACTCACTTCGTTTTATTCAATAATCTCATTTCACCACACTAAGTGGAACTTTACCTACCAAAATTTGATGTGTTTTTTGATTGATGGAAATTTGAAGGCCATATAATTAATAATTATTAGTAACGAGCATGTAGGGATCGAACATATCAACAAAATGACTTTAGTAGCTATCAACTAGTTTTCGAAATTAGTTTAAAATGATACCCTCATAAAATTCTCATGCTAATTAAATGTTAGATTAATGATTGATCTTAACATTTTTGTCGTATTTAAGAATCACCTTCACATGATATAATTAGTTTAAAGTCACGTAAACATGGATGAATCAGAAAGTTCAAGAGAGAAGTCGAAAATAAAAACTTCGAAGTATGTGTTATTATATGTTTTAACGTATGCAAAAGATATTTTTGGTTAATTATTAAAAGATAATTTATTTTAAGATATACATCAGTAAAATAAATATAATTTTTTCTCATAATTAATATATATATATATATATATATATATATATCTAAAGAATTTAATTATTTATTAATTATGTTGATCTTACAAATATACATAATTATGCAATATTAACTTCGGTCATTGTAATTGAGTTTAAACGTTAAAATAAAAAAATATTATAAAATGTATTTATCATATTTTTATAATTTTAATATGATAAATGTATTTTTTTAATTATTAATTTTAAGTGTTTAAACTAATATGAACAAAATCTTAATTATAATGCTAAATTATATAGTTATGAAATTTTTATTTCAAAAATCTAGATATGAATAACTGTTATCAAATAATTTGAGAAGGAGATGAAGACCAACCCTTGTCTTGCCTTAAATCCGTCCTTGCACATAAGTAGTGAACTTGGGGGAAAAAATTATAAAAATGATCTTTTATATAACTTAATGATAAAATTGTATTTGAGTAATTTTTTTAAACATGATAAGCCAGTACACTAGAGAAAATTTAGTTAAACGGTAATTCATTATTTATTAAAAAATGATTAATGACAAAAATCATAGATAAACATTCGAAAAAATCAAAGATGAAAAAAAATACAAAAATTTAAAACAAAACTCATCATTATATTTATAAGAATTAATATTGTATTTAAGTCTAAAATTATATATACTTCAGATATAAAAAGTATACATTTATTTTTAAATTAACTTTAATAAATGATAAAAATTTACTTATTCTACGAAAATGTATTGTGAAATTTACTTTATTAGTATACTTTTTTATGAATATTGAGTTTTAAAAATTTACATTAAAGTTTCGTTAATACTTCATAAAGTAACATAATTTTAATAAATACTATATTCTAAAAGATATGTAAATGTTAGTTATAAAATCATATATCAGTTCAACACTAAAAATTCTCTTTCTCAGGTAAATTACTTTACTGTGAAGAACATTTTCAAGAATAGGTAAATGTTAGTAAGAAAGCTCTAAATATTTCTCAGGTAAATGTTAGTAAGAAAGCTCTAAATATTTTTCATTTGTTTTACACAAATGACTTAATCCTTAAAGCTAAGACATCTAAGGATCAAGTTCAAATTATTTAAAGTCTTGTAGTTGTTTTGTGATGCTTCTAGTCATCATATTAATAAGGAAAAACTTCTATATTATTTTCTGCAAATACTAATCTAAGTAAAAAAATTATTCTAAGTCGGTAGTTAAAAATTGGTTAATATGATAATTTAGATTTTTATTTGGAAACTCCGATTTTTAGTAAGAAATCTAAGAAAGAATTATATTCTAATATAGTAGATAAAATCATAAAAAAAAATTAAGTTGAAAGATCAATTTTATTTCCTTTGCTAGTAGAATCAAATTTGTTCAAGCTAGCATAATGAGTATTTCAAATTATATAATACAATTTCACTTACTTTTGCTAGGAATTTGTGAGGAGATAAACAAAATTTTTTAACAATTTTATTTGGAATTCTACCTCTTTTAATAAGAAATGTTATTTAATTTCATGGAATAATATTTGTCAGCCTAAATCTTTGAGGAGGATTTGAATTCAAGAATATTCATTAAAATAACTTAGCCTAATGATAAAACTGGGTTGATCAATAATCCTAATAATTTTTAAGTAATGTGTTATTAGCTAAATATAATTTTAATATTGATAATTATTCTATTATTCTTCACTTTAGGTGAAGGTATTGTTAACTAAATAGGTCTTGGTTAATTAGGAATGATTTAAAAACTAAATTTTGGAGTAATTTTTGGATTATAAGAATTCACAATTTAGCTAACCTTCCTAGTTCAATGATTACTGAACCATATTTAAATCTTCCTATAGATTGTTTTATTTTAAATAATGAATCAGATTAGTAAAAAATTACTCTTTTTATTTCTTGATAATCTCATGATCTAATTAGTAAGTTAATTCTACCTCAATTGTTTGTTAATCCTGATGTAGCTAGTTGGTACTTTTTAATGAATGGAAGTTTCTCTTTAAAATCAGTTTAGTCTCATCTTTCATTATGTTTTGTTGCCTACTTTTGATTATATCTTATTTTATTTAATTTGGAAATGGCATGGTCTCCTAAAATAAATCTTTTGCTTTGAAAGTTGGCCAATGAAAAATTACTAACAAATAAAATAAAAAGAGAATTTCATATTTTAATTTTTGTATTGAATATCTCAAAACTGATATGTATATTCTTAGATATTGTTACTTTGTTTCTAATACATGGAATATGTTAATTTCTAATATTAATTTGTGTTAATATTTTAGCCTTCGACATCTCTAGATGGTTATTTTTTAATTTGAGTAAGAAAAGTTTAAATGACTTTGATAACTACAATATTTTGCTTGGTGTTGCGATCTCGCTTTTATTGTTAAATGGAAAGAATTAAGTTTGTAATAAGCATGCAATAAATTTGAAGTTTATATATATATAGGGGAAGGATCTTCTCATACTAGTATAAGTCTAAAAACTCTTATATTCTATTTGAATTTTTCTTTCAACTTATATCTCACGGTCAATGAAGTAATAAATTATAAATGTAAGTTAAATGAAAGACTCAGATCAAGTATAAAAATTTTTAGATTTACACTAGTGTGAAAAGATTATACTTCATATATATATATATATATATATATATATATATATATATATATATATATATATATAGCATGACTACGTGAATAACATAAATTCTTATGAAGAGTCTATTTGTGGGGAGATTTGATTAGAGATAACCAAGAAGGTTTTCAAGCTAGTTTTACTTAAAAATTTGAGAGAAGATCAAATGTTGTTTTATAAACTTTTTGTCCTTTTGACATATCTTAGACTAATTAGAAATATTAATTTAGAAAAGATTTTGGTTGAAATAGATTCTAAGCTGGTCGTCTAATTGGTTAATTCACATATACCCTTCTTGGACGCATGTTATATCTTATAGCTAAAGAGATTATAAATTTAAAATTCAATCTTAAAAAATAGTTAGCTTATATCACATATAGAGAAGTTAATCATTCTACTAATTTTTTAGCTAATTAAATTTATTAAATGTCCAATAATAATCTTCTATTAAATTCTTCCTCTTCTTACTTTATCTTGTTTCTTAAAAATGATGCTTTGTAAATTTTTCTTAGGATGATTAGTTCTATTTATTGTTTTTGAGACAAGTTTAGTCTCGTTGATAATAAAAAAAAATTCTTAAATTTAAATATATGAAAAATAAAATATTAAATGATTCTGCAAGAGACAATGTGATTTCACCATTATTAAAGTCATTTTAAGTCGACTTTGCTTCTTTTTTCTGGTTCTAAAGAAGTTGATTATAATCGACTTGTATAGTAAAAAAAGAAATCAATTAGAATTGACTTTAATTTTATCTTAGAGACAAGTTTAATCGACTTTTTTAATTATTTATTTGCATCGTCCAATGTGAGAATGGAGAAAGTGAGAGTGAAGAAGAGTGGAAATTGCGAACGATTGGAGCTAAAGAAGATGGATGATGATTTATATCGGCTTAATTTTGTTGATTATAGTACAAGTAAGTTGTCAATACAAGTGGTTTAATTTTTAAATATATTTAATTAAATTATATTTAATTATTTCTATATTTAATTTAATATGTCATTAATTTTGTAATTGTATGTTTAGAAATATGTGTAAATATTAATTATTATATTGTAAATTAAATTTAATTATTTGTTATATATTTTTAGTTATTATGATAATTAGTTTCATATTGTAATAATTTAAAAATTATAATAAATTAAATTTTAATTTTTTTAAATTGATTTTGTGATGTAGTTAATTTAAGTTTAATTTTGTTGTAATGTTTAAATTTAAATTTCATGTTTATATGAAGAAAAATGTAATCAATAATTTAGTGCAATCTTTATTTATTTTATGTTTAGTTTGGAGCATTGTATATATTATTTTGTTATTATACAGGATCCTCAAATTTTAAAAGTAGGCGATATAATATAATGGTCGCTTCAAATAAAGGAATGGAATCACAGAGTAATTTTTGACATGTTGTCCAGATGATCTCAATATTTGATTATGATAGCCCACTCATAAATGCACTTGTAGAACATTGGAAGCCTGAGTTACACACATTCCATTTTACACATGAAGAATATACGATCTCTTCTTGGAGGATATTGTGTTTCAACTAGGCTTACGTGTGGATAGATTGGAGCATGAAAAAATTTTATGATCAAAATATATGGGCATTGTATGGAGATTTACTTAGAGCAATTTTTAATAAAATAAACATAAAATAATTTTCTGTAAATCTACATTGGTTCACATATACATTTGGAGCATTACCTCATAATGTTGATGGGTAAACTATACCTAAGTATATATAATGGTTCTATTTATTGGAGTATTTTTCTTAGATAAATCAAAATTTGGGTTCATATGAAGTGACTGCCTCTCATCATTTTCATCATCTTGTTGTCCCACAATAAAATTAAAATCTCCAACTAAACTACCTTGTGTCATTTCCTATACATTTTGTGATAATAGCTTTTTAATTTGTTTAATAATGTGTTCAAAATTTGGAGAATCTACCTCATCATGCGAATTGTGCACGTTATGGCGGGACACCTCAACTAATGAGATTGGACTTGATAGAGAAGGTGATGGATGCGCTGAACCTCCAAAGCTAAAATGATCACAATGTAGTTTGATAAATTGTTTTATTATACAAGTTTCGACAAATAAATTAAAATAACTAAACATATAATCAATGTGTTCATTTTTCTTAAGTTGTCACATTTTATATTGGATACCATTTGACCCAATATTAACTGTCATCCTATAGAATTTTTTTAAACTTATGTACTGTTTTCTTCATATTTAATCTAAAATTTGGCTTTCAAATTATAGAAAGTAATTGATGGGCAGACATTCAACAAAGCTTGATTGTCATTTTAAAATATTTCTCTTTTTACTGTGTTTATAATCTCATAATTATGATATATAAGTACTTGAATGTAACTATTTGTCATCTTATTACAATTTTCATATTCAATTCATAAATAATCGTACAAAATTAAGAGTTGTATATGTCTATTTACAGTGAAAGAACAAATTTATTTATATTTTAATAAATAAAAATTTATTAAAATTGATTTATGTTTTAAACAAAAATTTATTAAAATTAATTTCAATAAAAAAATTACATGTATAAAAGTCGATTAAAGTCGACTCTTTTATAAAAGGGATGAAAATTTTAAATAAAATTTTATTATAATCAACTTTTGTATAATTGTAAATCAAAAAAGTAAAGGAGAATCAATTTAAATAGACACAAATTTTAAAAGGATAGAAAGTTGATGTAAATGAACATTTATTTAAACTCTATGCAAAATTTTAAAAAAAATCGATCAAAATTAACTTCTAATACGACAAAATAAGGACATATATATATATATAAATAAATTCATTTACGTCATATGAAATTTAAATTCTTTTAGTTATATAACAACTTTAAAGGACTAATAATAAAATATTATAATATTTTATAACTTCTAAATAAAAATTAAAGAGATGAATTTTTTGCTAAGGATGCATGGCCGCGGAAGATCACTTGAAGCTATGATTCTGGTCTTCAACAAACTTGGCACGTGTCAACTGTTAAAGGTAATAAATCCTTCTCGAGACTGGGAGAGTGACAGTCACTCACTCAAGCTACAAGGGCATTATAGTCCATTCACAAACACAGTTCATCGGCGGAATACTAATGCTGAAAGCTACACTCTGAAAACTACAGTTGAAGAAAAACTTATGTGTTTTTTATACCCTTAATCATCGCTGTATTACTAAATTTTCCCCGAGAAATAACAATGAAATAGCGCCAGAGAAAAACAATAGAAGAAGAGTGAGTGGCGGCACAGAATGGCCTTCAACGACTTCTTCGCCGGCGAGATAGCGACGGAGCTTCTCAAAATGCTAATAAACATCTCTCGCAAGTCCCTGCTATGCAGAACAAGCGCCGATCAACTCATCACGCACATCCACGACCTTCTTCCCACCATCGAAGAAATCAAATACTCCGGCGTGGAGCTTCCGGCGCACCGGCAGTCGCAGCTGGACCGTCTCTCGGAGATTCTCCGTTCCGGCGTGGACCTCTCCCACAAGGTTCTCTCCTCAAGTCGCTGGAACGTTTACAGGAACCTTCAACTGGCGAAGAAGATGGAGAAGTTAGAGAAGAAGGTGTCGCGGTTCTTGTTGGGCCCGATGCAGGCCCACATACTGGCGGACGTGCACCACACGCGCTTTGACATGGGTGAGAGGTTTGACCGAGTTGAGAACTCGTGTCGAAGGTTGGAACAGTACTTTGGGGCGATGAAGATTGGGGTGGGTGGCGGAGGGTGGGTGGAGGAGGCCGTGAGGAGCGTGCAGGAAGAAGCTGAGGGTAGTTTCGGTAATTTTGGTGTGGGTTTGGAGTACGGAAAGAATGTGGTTAAGGAGATGATTGTTGAGAGACATGACCTTTGGGTTTTCGGGATTTTGGGGATTGGTGGGTCTGGCAAGACCACTCTTGCTAGAGAGCTCTGCAGAGATCATCACGTTCGATGTATGTTCTTTCATCATCTTCACTTTTACGCCTTAATTGTTCTACTACCTTGCTTTTTAATCAAATCATATATTTCAATCAAGTTTTTACACCAAATTTTAATTACATTCAATAGTTTAAAATTAATTCTATTCCACTATAAATTACACATACACTTGCTATCTCTTTGTACAATGTGTGAAACAACCAAGTCTGACTGAAGTTTGATTTTTTTTTTTCTCCTTTAATAAGAAGGTTTTTTTAATGTGCTTGATGAAGCATGTTAATAAAATTTAAATATACTGTATTAAATGTATTAATCTTTTTAAAAAATATATTATTGATTATTTTTCATAATTTTGAGATGAAAAACATTTTATTTTAAATAAAAAATTTATTTTTTACTTTTTAACATATATCATTAGATACATTTAAAAAAACTGTTGATAAAATTCTGATTTTTTAATATTTGTTAAAAATAATAAAATATGACAAAATTTGATATATAAATAATATTAAATATTATATTTTTAATAAAAATTACTTATTATTATTTTTTTACCTTAGATACACGTTAGAAAAATCTATTTGGAACATGATTTTCAGTCTTAGAAATGGGACAACGGGATTTCCCAATTTAACTAAACAGGCTTATAATAACCAATGATTAACATGTTCTTTCTTCTTAAGCATGATGTCAGAGTTAAAGTAATGCATTGTAAAAAAAATTCATAAAAAGAATTAACTTCGTTATATCGTGAATATTTCAAGCTCAAAAAAATAAAACGTAGAAGACAGCAAAAGAAAATCGGCGAGTAACTTCGGATTGTTGTCTATGTGATGGAATCAGTAGTTCTCAGAAAAAAAAAGTTATTTTGTGAAATATTTATTGAAAAAATAAGTGAGTATTTTTTAGCAAATAAGCTTGTTGTTTAATGGTTTGATTATTGTTTTCTAAAAAATAGTTTAATTGGATGCAGGTTATTTCAGGGAGAGAATCTTGTTTCTGACAGTGTCGCAGTCTCCGAATGTGGAGCAGTTGAGGACAAAGATTTGGGGGTACATTATGGGGAACGAAACGTTGAATGGGAATTATGTGGTACCTCAGTGGATGCCGCAATTGGAAAGCAGAAACGAAAGTCGAACGCTGATTGTTTTGGATGATGTTTGGTCACTCTCAGTGTTAGAGCAGCTTGTGTGTAGAATACCTGGTTGCAAGTTCCTTGTTGTTTCCAGATTCAAGTTCCCAACCATTTTAACTGCTTCTTATGAAGTTGAATTGCTCAGTGATGAGGATGCCCTCTCTTTGTTCTGTCACCATGCTTTTGGACACAAATCAATCCCTTTAGGTGCTAATGAGAATCTCGTCAAACAGGTAATGGTTTCAAGTTCTGAAATTTCTCTAACTTGCATGTCTTTTAAAAGAAAAAAAAAAAGAGTTAAAGTTCAAAATTGATTAATATTTTTAAAAAAACATATGTTACTTTTTTGTGAATGGGAAGATTTATAGGTGTAAGAGAATACAATATTTTCTTTTCTAAAATAGAGTATCATACTATATTATACTTGTTTTAGTGTTTTTTATTAGACTCTTTTGAAATCTTTAGATGATCTTTAATATCAGGTTTTTGATAAAACATTAAAAATATTTATTATTCTGTTGCATCATAAACTTAAATATTTTTAAGTTCTTAAACAATAATATAATATTAGAATTTTATAATGATATATTAATTACTTCTAATAATTTATTTTTAATCTGTTATTTAATTAAACGAGTCTTACAAATCGGATTAGAAGGAATATATGAACTTCACTAAAAAAATGGTTTTTGTACAAAAAAATATTTAAAATACTTTAATAAGAAAAAAGATAAAATGTAATAAAATTTTAGTGGTTGAAATAACATAATTGCTTTTGTAATACTAACTTTGTTGTTTCTTGCATCCAATGGCAAATAGGTTGTGACTGAGTGTGGAAGGCTCCCGTTGGCTCTTAAGGTGATTGGAGCTTCTTTGCGAGATCAGACTGAAATGTTTTGGATGAGTGTTAAAAACAGGCTATCTCAAGGCCAAAGTATTGGTGAATCCCACGAAATTAATCTGATTGAAAGAATGGGAATCAGTATCAATTACCTGCCAGAAAAGATCAAGGAGTGCTTCTTGGACCTGTGTTCATTTCCTGAGGATAAAAAAATTCCTCTTGATGTTCTCATCAATATGTGGGTTGAAATCCATGATATTCCTGAAACAGAAGCTTTTGCCATTGTTGTTGAGCTCTCCAACAAAAATCTTCTCACCTTAATGAAAGAGGCACGGTATGCAAATTCAAAAACCATATTTTTAACTTGTTTTATCTGCTAAATTTCTTGTAATACCAGTTACAATAAGCAATATCATTAGGCACTAGTAGTAAATAATGTTGAGTTCTCAATGTTGAGTACCTCTTGACTTTATTTTATAACTTAAAATAACATTATGAAATAAATTAAACTCTCGTACCAGTTGCAATGAGCAATAGCATTATTCTAAAATCCCTTCTATGCTTTTATCTACTAGTGCTGGAGGCATGTATAGCAGTTGCTTTGAAATCTCTGTAACTCAACATGATGTACTGAGAGACTTAGCCCTTAATTTGAGCAACCGCGGGAGCATCAATGAACGCCAGCGATTAGTGATGCCAAAACGAGAGAATGGACTCCCTAAAGAGTGGTTGAGGTACAAGCACAGAACATTTGAGGCTCAGATTGTTTCAATTCACACAGGTATATGCCAATCCATCTCTAAAATGAATGTCCTTTATTTTTATTTTATCCTTGTTCTTTGTGCGTTATATGATTCATGTAACTAACCTTGCTTAATGAGATACGACTTAGTTATCAATGTTCTTTACTTTTAATCTATGTGATGAATTTTACATTGCAGGTGACATGAAAGAAGTGGATTGGTGTAGTCTAGAATTTCCTAAGGCGGAAGTGCTTATAATTAATTTCACATCCACTGAATACTTCTTACCTCCCTTCATTGACAGAATGCCAAATTTGAGGGCATTGATAATAATAAACTATAGTGCAACATATGCTTGCCTTCACAATGTTTCAATTTTTAAGAATTTGTCCAATTTAAGGAGCCTCTGGCTCGAAAAAGTTTTCACCCCCAAGTTATCAGGCATTGTTTTGGAAAACTTGGGAAAGTTTTCTATTGTCCTATGCAAGATTAACAACAGCTTGGAAGGGAAAGAAGCAAATTTGGCCCAAGTATTCCCCAACCTCTCTGAGCTCACTTTTGATCACTGTGATGATCTAACTCACTTGCCCTCAAGCATTTGTGGAATAAAGTCCCTCCAAAACTTGAGTCTCACAAACTGCCACAATTTGACTCAATTGCCTGTTGAATTAGGAAAACTAAGGTCCCTAGAGATCCTTCGTTTATATGCTTGTCCTGATCTCAAAACACTTCCTCCTAGCATATGTGACATGATAAGATTGAAGTACATTGACATTTCTCAATGTGTTAACTTGACATGCTTCCCTGAAGAGATTGGTAAACTAGTAAGCTTGGAGAAGATTGACATGAGAGAATGCTCAATGATTAGGAATATACCAAAGTCTGCATTGTCATTGCAATCTCTACGGCTTGTAATTTGTGATGAGGAAGTATCTGGGATTTGGAAAGATGTTGAGATGGCCAAGCCAAATTTGCATATTCAGGTATCAGAGCAGTACTTTGATCTAGATTGGCTTAGAGAGTGATTCATGTGTCCACATTCTGGGATGTTTTATTTCCCATTTCGTTGTAAATAATTGTTTTGAAATGGAAAATTATCTTTCTCCAAGAGCTAATATCATGTGATAGTGAAAATCGTGGCATAATTTTCGCTAGTTTGAAGTAACCTTACTTTGTTATTTCAAGTGCCTCGTCACTCTCATGTTCCTATAATCAATCCTAGAAGTCGATGATAAATCCAATCTATCCAAATATACTTTTCTATTTCTTTTTCTTTCTTTTTTTTACGTTTTTTAATATAAAAATATATGTTTTGAAATCTAAAACTAAACAAACTTAAAATTCTTAAACTTAATTATATTTTTTATCTTCCGTCGTCTAATTATTGCAAAAATAAAATTCAATGGTAGCATGATACTTGACTTAACATCATACCAAACCTACGGGTTACTTATTCTATTTAAATTCGCAAGTCAAACATATTAAAGCTATTAATGAATTCCTTGAGATGTCTGATTCAATAAAGTATCATGTCATTATGTGGATGATCGTGTCACTAATTTCATGTAGTAAAGAGATAATAAACTGAGAGAGACTTATTCTTTTAATTAAAAAATGAAGGATTTTATTCATAGAAAAAATTTAAAAAATTAACTACGATAATAATATGAACACAAAAGTAGTTAGAAGATAATATACACGAAAAATTTTATATACCACATTCATTTCTAATAGATGTGATAATAGACACATTAGTTTTTAATAACGTGTTATTTTATAGTAATCTCTATAAATCATAAATATGGGTTATCTTAGTCTCTTTTAGGAATTAATATATCTAGTATTTATAGATTAGTATAATTAATAATATATAAATATTTACGTTCACTATCTACAAAAAGATAATAGCTTTTAAGATAAAGTAAAGAAATATACAGTGTGAAAAGAAAAAATAGTTGAAAAAGATATGATCATATATTAGTACCCCAGCAGTACTGAAAGGTAAATTATCTTTTTTTATCTGAGTTTCCATGTTAGAATTTTTTATAATTTATTATGTAATTTTTATTTATTATATAATTTTTATTATGTAATAATTATTATAAAATTACTATTTTTTTATGAGATCTTGAATTTTGTTGTTTTCACAACATAATATACGGTTCTTACATAATTAAGGGTTTAAAGAATATTAACCTGAATCTATTGTTCCTTAATATTACTTCTCTCTTTGATGTCGTTGATTTCTTAGTATTTTTCTTAACTCTTCCTTTCTCTTTCAGCTTTTCTCAAATGGTTAAAAAAAAGTTTCTTTCTTACATTTACTATGAGCTCATTCAGAAACCGTGAAAGTAAAAATAGAAAATGACGTAACCTATTTGATAATTGTTTTTTAATTTATATATAAAAAAAAATTCCTTATAATTATTATATTTATAATTATACTTTCAATAATTTTAAATTTAACCACTATCATATTAAATTATTAATTAAAATTATAAATCACTCTAATAAAATTATTAAAATAATCTAAGCCTTTTAGAGTACATAAACTTGCAGACCCAACACTTTTGTCCTGTTAGATGAATCATTGTTCCAATCAAACGATCTCAAATGAATCTTTTGTAATATCCGACGACGTTAATACATATCTTAGAAAACAAAAAGAGTTGCGCACACTCACTGTAATAGCAAGGGCATTACAGTCAATTCCAAAACCAGTATGGAAAGTCGAGTGCTGACTGCTATAATAATAATACGAAGAAAGAAAAAGAGAAGAAGCGAAAGAAGCAATTGAAGTAGCAGTAGTTGGCGGCGCAACCGCACACGGCGGAGACGATGGCCATAACGGACTTCTTCTCCGGCGAGATCGCCTCCGACCTATGGAAAATGCTCATAACAATTTCCCGAAAGACTCTTCAATGCAAATCCAGCGCAGAACAACTCATAACCTTCGTCCGTGAACTCCTTCCCACTATCGAAGAGATCAAATACTCCGGCGTCGAGCTTCCTCCGCCGCGGCAGTCGCAGCTCGACCGTCTGTCAGAGATCCTCCGCTCCGGCGTCGAGCTCTCCCACAAGGCTCTCTCCTCAAGCCGTTGGAACGTCTACAGAAACTTCCAATTAGCGAAGAAAATGGAGAAGCTAGAAAAACACGTGTCACGGTTCTTGCACGTGCCCATGCAGGCTCATATACTAGCCGACGTTCACCACACCCGGTTCGAGATGGCGGAGCGGTTCGACCGGGTCGACGCGTCGAACCGGAGGATGGAACAGTTCTTTGAGGAGATGAAGATTGGAGTGAACGGTGGTGGGTGGGTGGAGGAGGCTGTGAGGAGCATGCAAGAGGATGAAACTTGGGTTGAAGAGTTTTCTGGGAATTTTGGTGTGGGTTTGGAGTTCGGGAAGAATAAGGTTAAGGAGATGGTTTTTACAAGACATGATCTTTGGGTTGTTGGGATTTGGGGGATTGGTGGGTCCGGGAAAACCACTCTTGCGAGAGAGGTTTGCAGAGACGACCAAGTACGATGTAAGTTCATGTTTTAAACTCACAACATGGATCATTTTCATGTTTGTTTCATGTTTTATGGTAACGAATTCTTCCTTGTTTTACGTGAAATGAAATCACCTTTTTTTTTTCTTTTAATGTGTGCCCAGGATTAGAAATTAATAAAAAGTAAATTTTTATGATATTAATGCATTGAATTATGTGATATTATAAAAATTGAATGAAGTTTGTGTGTTAAATTTTTTTTCTTTTTAAGTTTGTATCTGTGAGCAAGTGTTTCTGAAGTGTGAGAGTTGTTTTTTTGCAGGTTATTTCAAGGAGAGGATTCTGTTTCTGACTGTGTCGCAATCACCAAATGTGGAGCAGCTGAGAGCTAAGATTTGGGGATACGTCATGGGAAACCAAGGATTGAATGCTAATTATGCGGTTCCACAATGGGTGCCACAATTTGAATGCAAAGGTGAAGCTCAAGTTTTGATTGTTTTGGATGATGTCTGGTCGCTCTCCGTTTTAGAGAAGCTTGTGTGGAAAATACCCGGTTGCAAGTTTCTTGTGGTGTCTAGATTCAAGTTCCCAACAATTTTTAATGCTGTTCATGAAGTGGAATTGTTGGGTGAAGAGGATGCTTTGTGTTTGTTCTGTCACCATGCTTTTGGGCAGAAATCAATTCCTTTAGGTGCTAATATGAATTTGGTGAAGCAGGTAATTGTTTGAATTGAAGAAGTGATTCTTGTGAACTTTAAATAAAGTGTTATATAGTATAAACTTTGTTTACCTTATCTCATGTTTTGTATTTGTATCCAATGGGGAACAGGTTGTGGCTGAGTGTGGAAGGCTTCCACTGGCTCTTAAGGTGATTGGAGCTTCTTTGCGAGACCAGAATGACATGTTTTGGATGAGCGTTAAAAACAGGTTGTCTCAAGGCCAAAGCATTGGTGAATCCTACCAAATGAATCTCATTGATAGAATGGCAATCAGTACTAATTACCTGCCAGAAAAGATCAAAGAGTGTTTCTTGGACCTGTGTTCATTTCCGGAGGATAAAAGGATTCCTCTCGAAGTTCTAATCAATATGTGGGTTGAAATCCACGATATTCATGAGACTGAAGCATTTGCCATTGTGGTTGAGCTTTCAAACAAGAACCTTCTCACCTTAGTGAAAGAGGCACGGTATGCAACTTAAAAATGCATTTTTTTTCAAAAACTTGTTTTATGTATTCATTTGATTGTTGATTTTATCTCTTAAAAATGCCATTTTTCTAAGACCCTTGTGATATTTTTCATTTTTCAGTGCTGGGGGTATGTATAGCAGTTGCTTTGAAATTAATGTTACTCAGCATGATATACTGAGGGACCTTGCTCTTAATTTGAGCAATCGTGGGAGCATTCATGAACGGCGAAGGTTAGTTATGGCAAAACGAGAAGACAACGGACTACTCCCTAAAGAGTGGTCTAGATACAGGAACCAACCCATTGAAGCTCAGATTGTTTCAATTAACACAGGTATATGCCAATGCCTCTCAGGAACTTTCTTTATTATCATTTTGATTTCTTGTTCTGTGACTCATCTTAGGGATCAATTTTACATTGCAGGTGAAATGACAGAAATGGATTGGTTTGAATTGGATTTTCCTAAGACTGAAGTGCTGATTATCAATTTCACATCCAGTGAATACTTTTTACCTCCCTTCATTAATAGAATGCCAAATTTGAGGGCATTGATAATAATAAACTACAGCACCTCATATGCTTGCCTTCACAATGTTTCAGTTTTTAGGAATTTGACTAACTTGAGGAGTCTTTGGCTTGAAAAGGTTTCCACCCCTCAGTTATCAGGCATTGTCTTGAGAAACTTGGGCAAACTATTTATAGTCCTCTGCAAGGTTAACAATAGTTTGGAGGGAAAAGAGTTCCCTCACCTCTCTGAGCTCACTCTTGATCACTGTGATGATCTAACTCGCTTGCCCTCAAGCATATGTGGAATGAAATCACTCCAAAATTTGAGTCTTACCAACTGCCACAATTTGACTCAATTGCCTGTTGAATTGGGCAAACTAAGATCTCTAGAGATACTTCGCTTATATGCTTGCCCAGATCTCAAAACACTCCCTCCTAGCATATGTGACATGACCAGGTTGAAGTATATTGACATTTCACAATGTGTTAACTTGACATGCTTCCCTGAAGAGATTGGTAGATTAGTTAGCTTGGAAAAGATTGACATGAGGGAATGCCCCATGATTAGGAATCTGCCCAAGTCTTCAGTGTCATTGCAGTCTCTGCAGCTTGTAATTTGTGATGAGGAGGTATACGGGATGTGGAGTGATGTTGAGATGGCCAAGCCAAATTTGCATATTCAGGTATCAGAGCAGTACTTTGATCTAGATTGGCTTAGAGAGTGACAAATGTTTCTTGTGATGTTTCACTTCCCAATTCTTTGTATATACTTTTGTTCATAGCCTCTATTTGAAATGGAAATTATCCTATTCAAGTATCATGGCATAATCTTTTCCCTAGGCTGAAGTACATAACCTTTGTTTTTCTTTTGTGGTCAACATTCCAAATGCCTTTAAGTTCCTAGAATTAAATGCAAGTAGCCAGTTATAAATTCAATCTAGTTCTATTATTAATTGAGTCGACAAATAAGAATTCCAATTTCCTATTCCATCAGTGCTGAAAGATTTCTGCGGTTAAACATACTTCCTTTCAAGTATCACATTCCCAATGTTGATTTCTTTAGAAAAATATGTTAACCAAACTAATAACAAAAATAATGATAAAAGGAGTGAGGCGGCTAGAAAGCAAAATTGGACACAGGTTTCCAAAAGAGAATGCTTTTTCCATGCTGGGTCCGAAATTTAGGACCAAAAATTTGGAATTTTGGTGCCACTATCATAGTTGAACTTGATGTACATGTACAATGAACATGGCAGTTCCAATCACATGCCTCCACCAAAAGGACAGGTTCTAGATTAATAAGAAAACGCGTTAAGAGAAGCATTAAAACAAAAATCTAAAGCAACACCTCGGTTTTGAGGTCACCAGATTGGCACAGGTCACTGTCATGTGTCTACCTTGAAGCTTCCTTAGTCGATTTCTTATTTATCTTCTTTCATTATGGTCCCTTTGGTCAATGTTCTATTTTTTATTATTATCCTCCTTCTTTATTAATCTGTATATCGTGCAAGTCAAGCCTCCCCGGTCAACATCATGATCAGCATCACTACCATGAATGATTTTGGGTTTTGCTGACTAAATATCTTCAAGATACATGTTAGAGAATTAATAAAAAATATTTTTTTATTAAAAAATGTTAGGGTATATTAAAAATTACAGAAAGAATACATTGTTTTATTTTTAATAAAAAATACTTTTAATTCTTAAAAATATTAAAATATATAGGTGTAAGAAATATTATAAAAATATATCATAAGAAAAAAAATTGAATATAATATTCATATATTTCATCTTTTAAAATTAATCCATATTAATTCAATTATTAAATATTTACCACACAGGCTTTAATTTTCAAAGACTTCTTTTCTCTTGCTTTTCATGTGTGAGACTAATTTTGATCGGAGGATATATTTATCCTTATCACATTATTTTTAAATGAATTCGAATTCCTACCCTATAGATAAATTATTTGCATGGTATGATGAATTAAAATATTTAATAACATATTTTTCACTCACCCTTTTTTCCTTTTTTTAAATTATTGAGTGAAATTTATGAAGATTCCACTAAATGATATATTTAATGAATTTTATTAAATAATAGTGGGACACAAATTTATATTACTAATGCTTATTTTACATGAAATTTAATTTGCTAACTTTTTATAAACATTCAAATCAATAATTTTTATGAACGTGTGTGTTGATCCTAGGTATTAAAGTTAGACATTTATATTTTTTAATAATTTTTTATAAAATACAAAATTAATCAATTTAACTGTTGAATCATCTTATATTATCTTCATGATTATGTATATAAAATTTTACAAATATAAATATTTGTAAGTATATCATCCAAAATTTAATATTTACTAATATTTTAAAAATATAATACCCATTAAAATGAAATAATATGATAAAGTGTCTATTTACTTTATTTTTATATAAAATTTTATAAAGTTGACATATTTGATAAAAATCTTTAAATTAACGGTTAAATTAATTAATCTCATATTCTGTTAAAAAGTTATTAAGTAGTATACTATCATTATAGAAATATTTTGCTAATTAAACTACATTTTTAAAATAAAATTTTATATATTTTTTTATGTTTTAGTTTATATTTTCATTACTAATTAATAACATAATCTTCTTTCAATATTGTTAAAAAAAAATTCTCATTTTACATGTTTATAGAAATACTCATAATACACGAAAATGGGTGCTTAACAGCTGATTTGAATAGTGAAATAAACCATTAGTCCATTATCTACTTAAGAATTTCCTGTTTATTTTTCTCTTCTTTGGGGAGCACCAACCATGCTTGTCTAATGCATGATGCATCCATGAGGCAAATATTTCTTACATTGACATAATTGACAAAGAAAAAAGTCACAAGTAAGAAACTAATATCTTCCTTTCATCCTATTGCATTGAGTGTGTTGAAAAGTCCATAAAATCATGGTAAATAATATTTTAAAGTAAAAGTTATAACTTAAACTGTTAAAATAAATTTACAATTGAGTAAATTTAGTGTTAAACTAAACACATTTTAAGTTTATCCTAACTTGAACCAAACTCTATTTTTGGTTAAGTCAGTTTTTAAAACTCAGACTTGATTTGCTTATGATCTGACCAATAATCAGATTATAAACTTCACATATAAGTAGAATATATAATTTTGGACAGCATATTTATAAAATTTTATAAATCATAAACAAAAACTAAGAATTTTTTCACCTTATATAAATTACATTAGTGTAGTCAAAAGGTTCTATATTCTCTTTTACTGATGTTTATAAAATTAAACCTTTAAAATTTTATGTAGCATTATATATATCGTTGTTGGTCAACTATGTAACATTATATTGACTTGAACTGATTTGAAGTGTGACCCGAATTTGACAAAAATTATTAAGCCCAACTTTAAACGTTTAGCATGACTAACAATATATATTTTTTATTATTGAATTATAGGAATCTTGCTAAATAACTAGAAATAAAACTTGTATAAAATTTTTAGACTTGTAGAAATGGATTAAGGGCACAATCTACCCCACTTAATTTATTATATAATCTTTTTTTTTTAAGTTCTATAATTAGTGGGTTTACTTTGATCTTAAGTTTTAATATACCAAAATATTATGTGATAAAGTTAATATTAAAGATGAATTAGTCAAATTGTTTTGAAGAATAATTAATAATTATTTTTATTTAATTATAATATTTATAAAATTATTTTATTTAAATAAATTTCAATTTTATATTTGAAATATTTAAAAAATATTATTTATTAAAATATATTAAAATTTATCATAAAAATAATATTAAATAAAATAAATTTTAGATTTTTTATTTGTTTAATTTTTTAATTAAATTTAATATTGTATAATCATTTATGATTTTAATTAAGAATTATTAATAATTTTTTAACTATACAATAATGAAATTATACAATAAAATTTTATAAAATAATTTATTAAAATATGATAATTAATTTAAATACAAGTAAATGAACGATTGTTAGATTTTAATAATTATTTTAATAAATTCAATTAATTTTAATATTTTTTATTTTTAATGAGTTTTAATAATTATGGATTCATTATAATTTAAATTTTTATATAATAGTTATTTTTAATATAAATATTTCTAATATTAAATAATTTTATATTAATATGTAGATATAGATAAATTATTTATTTAAAGAAATTTTTGTTCAAAAAATAAAAAAAATATAGTTGTTAATATATTTTTTCAATTAAATAATTAATAAATATTTGCATAAATCAATAAATAAAAGTAAAGTTAAAACATAAATTGTCATTTAACAATTTATATATAAGTATGTGTTGTAATTTATTGTGTATTTTATTATGTTACACTAATTTTATAGTGTAGTTAATTATATATATATATATATATATATATATATATATATATATATTCGTTTCAAATTTTAAATTAATAAAGTAAATAAAATTATTTTTTTATAATTGTCATATTTTTATTTTAATTTAATAATTATATATATATCGCATTTAGTTTAAAAATTTATATTAAGTTTTATTACAATTTTTTTATAAAAATAAAAATTTTAAAAAATTATTTTAATTTAAAAATTTTCTATCAAATTAAGATATGAAAAATGTCAAATTTTACAAGAATTTATTAATTCTTATTATGTTCACACGTTACTTTTCTGTATTCATAAATTTTGTAAATTAAATATTCTATGTTTATAATTTTTATGATGAAGTATTACATTTACTTTTAACTTTTATCTAATTGACTTAATAAATTTTTAGCTAACGTTATTTTTATTGCTAACTTTATGTGTTTATTATGATCTTATTTATTAAACATGAGATGTATAACACTTTAATTTAATTTTTAAATATAAATAAATTTCACAAAATGGAAGTAATAAAAAAATTTCATTTAAATAGTTCTCAAAGCATAGTTCAACAAAGTATTTCAAAATAAGAATGAATTACAATTTGAATCAAATAATTGCTACAGGACTTAATTAATACATTTTAGTTTCAAAATAAATACTCTAAGTCCTATAACAATATTATCTATCCATTCACTGAGCTCGGTACTGATTATTTTGGTCACCTGAAAAATAAATGTAAGGGTGAGTATTTCATACTATCACATACAAACACAGAGACTCACCTCACGCAGTATACACTTTTCTAACATTATTTAAATCACATATCAAGCAAATGTAAAATCATGCATTTTCAACATTCCATTCCAATTCACCAAATAGGTGCGCTCACTGCACCATCAATCAATTCACACACACACATACGTGCACTCACTACATGTAGCCGCGCTCACTGTGACACTATGATCACAGTTTTCTGATGTCCTCAACCTCAGGGATTTACTCAGTTTTACACTATGGATGATCGCCTGATAGCTCCCGCCTCACGAATACAGCGTATGCAGTCACGAGTCTCTTGGCAAAGGTGTTAGTCAGAGGCCAAGTCAGGAAGAGAGTATATGACCTATGGTGCACCCACTGTTGGTGTCACCACCATCCTCTTTTCCCCAAGGTATTTCTACCGCCCTCATCTTCTACATCCCTAGTGTATCGCTGAACCATTCATAATTTTCAACATTTCACAATCATAATCACATTCACGATTCATCATACCTTCCACACATATTTCATTTATCTCATATCATTCAATGTCAATTGAAGGCACATACACCCATATTCCACCACACAATATTCAATCACACATTTTTCATCACAATTTCTCTACAATCATTCATTTCATCACACACATTTTTCAATGTCAATAACACTAGGTTCCACATAAGATTTTCACTATACCCTATTATAATCAAGTCATTTTCATCCAAATGCACACATTTCTACTTTCTATTTCAATCACAACTCTACAGAAAACAATATAAATGAATTTTCAAGCAAAAAGAGATAGGGTAGAGTTGTTCCTTACCTCAAATCAAACATCTAAACACGAAATTAACAAAGAATGTGCTCCCCACATGAGTTTCGTCCTAAATATATGAAAAATTCCATAAGAAATCGAAAAAACAAGGAAGAGAAATGAAAAATCGGAACCCTAACTCTTGGACCTTACCTCCAAGCGTCTCAAACAAAATATCAACCTTCAATCCAACCCAGAATGACTTTGGAGGTAGTTTAATCGGTAAGAACGGGTTGGGAATCGAGAGAACAGAGAGAGATCCTTGAAGGAAAAGTGAGAAATAAATTTTTCAAACCTTAAATCCCTCAAATATCCCTCTGGCCGCAACACTCTTGCTACAGCGAGATATTCTCACTGTAGTGAAAATATCAGACAAATTTGTACTCTGATTTTTGCAAAGACCCTCTCGTTATAGTGAGACTACACCTAGAAATGCACACATCTCTGTTGCTTTCTCATTACACCGAGAACGCAACAAAATCACACGCTTTGCCCATGACACTCTCACTACAGCAAGAATGTCTCTGTAACACATATTTAGTCTACATTTCAAACGATTCTAGCCTAATCATAAGTCAATCATCAACAATCATGCTTAAGCACAAGTCCACATTACATTTTAACTACATATACATACATCTTCACAACCATATTTACATCCAAATTATTACACAATCAAACGCAAGTCCAAACATCAATTCACATATTTATATTAATAAATCAATGTTATTATCACAAAAATTTAGAGCGTTACAAGATGTCTTCACACAAATTAAATACTGATTCTCACAAAAAATATATAATAAATCTTTAATATTTTTAATAATTTTATAAAAATAAATCAATAAAAAAAATATTATAACATAAAAAAATTTATAATTCATATTTAAATAATATTTTAAAAAAGTGCTAAAAAGCATTTATAAAATTATATAAATAAAAATTATTATAATTATTTAATAATTATCAATAATACAGGTAAAAATATGAAAAATATGTAACTTAATTTAAAAATAAATTATTATATTTTATCTAATATTATTTAATATCAATAATCATTATAAATATTTAATATTATACAGATTTAATTCTTCTAAATTTATTTTTTAAGTAATTTAATTTTTCTACAAATTTATTATAGAAAATATGTATATAATGTAAATATTTTTAATAGAAATATTTATAAGATACTACGTGATTATTCCTATAAAAAAGTGAGCTAAAATAATTTTTGACAAAACATTTAATGGATAGATTAACCCTAACCCAGATGTGAACAATTTATCCCCATGACCTTTTCATTGTTTTTCAACCTTGTGGGCTTTGACCCTAACTCTATCATGTGAGTTAAAACTAACCATTTAACAGCGTTAAAATTTCACTTAATAAAATTATGACATCCCTCAAATTAATTAGTCCCATGTCACTCTCTTCCAATTTCATGTTGGATAATGCCTAAATGCCCGACAACACTAAGCTCGCCACTTCACAAAAGCGTGAATCGCAAAATCAGAACATCGAACATTATCTTAAACGTTAGATATACAGTTTACACGTAAAATATAAATTACGCGGTTACGCCTTACCAACATGGCCCACTTTTCTTGTTTTTTTTAATATATAAAATAAAGCTACGAAATTATATAAAAAGAGAATAATAAACTATATTGAAGTGATAAAGTTCAATTTCAAATTGCATAGGTATCACACTGTAGAATGAAACCTCCCTAAAATAAGCATGTCCATAAAGCACCAAATGTATATTTACCCTAAATTTGAAAAATACCATTTTTATAACCTACTAAAATTTAAGAACAATTGCTTCTTCCTTGTCCACTTTCAAATTCAATTTAGGTGATTTTTTTCTTTGTATCTTACTACTCGTAGAATATACTTTTCTCCTTAAAACTCCTTAATAATTCTACTGTACACCCTATTCAATATCTTCACAAATAATGCCAACACTGATTTCTACATGCCACAAACTACATATTTAATCACTAGTTCCGCACCTCAAGTCCATTCTCAAGCATATTGTTTTAAGTGAACTTTTGCATGGAAGAACATGACATATAAAGAATTACTATGTCACATGAATACATTTACACAAGGTAAAATTTGGCTGGTAAGCGATGATGAAATTTTTTTGTCCATATTTTACAAGGTACATGAAAATTTAAGAACTATGCTCACAAAAGGCCTTAAATACAAGCATATATCTAGTACTTCTAGAGAAATCTGGTAGGCATATACTCATTTATTCTTAAAGGAAGGCGATAAAATTCATCATTTCTAACATCTCCCTTCCTATTCTGGAAAGGAACCCACCATGGCAGTCCTCTGTCCACAGCGGTATGTTTGGCTTCAAGTGTGTTATCAACAAGAGTCCCAACAATTATAGCCACAGTTGGGGGAGAAGAGAATATGGTGTTCAAAATGTCATTGAACTGTTTGTGACACAAAATAAGATTAGACCAATTAGATATATCCTTTTACACAAGTAGAAAATCAAGTAAACCAATAGTTGAACAAATATAACCTTAATTATGGGTTCACAAAAGATTATATGCCTAGTTAATCCTAGGGAATTAAATAATAAGAGACTTGAAAAGTCACTCACCCATCCACCATCTGTTCTAACTGGACCATGACCATCAGGTGCAGTGTTCATGACAAAATATTGTGGTATTGAGATCCCAAGAAACAAGGTTAGGCCCAAAACATAGATATTTCTTATGGAATTGTTATTTGCAAACTGTATAAATGAAATCCCAACAGCAGCTGCAAAAAAAAAAGAACAACGATAATATAATAAAAGGCTTGAATTAACGGGTCAAAATTATAATAATTAATGTAATAGTAGCATCACCTACCTACAATACCAAATAAGACACAGTATATAGCAGCGAATATTGGTAGGGGAATTGATGCAAAAAAGGCTCCGAATTTCCCTGAAAGAGACAAAGTAAAATAATTACACTGTAAGTGTGAAATTGGAAGGAAAGTCTTGCCAAATTGGTTTCAGGTGGAGTATTGTACCAAAAATAGAGAAGAAAATCATGAAACCACATGATATCTGCACTACTCTTCTGCTCCCTATATGAGTTAGACCAAGTAGCCCAACATTTTCACTGCAATTATCAAATAGATTAGTCAGGTAATTACTCAGAGAATTCTTTACCTCAAATGTATACAAATATTCCTCTCACTCATAGAAGTTGCAAATACAATAGATGCTTTCAAATATTAATAAATATATCAATAAATCTATGTCTATGATAATATTAACCAAGCATAAATTTCTGTTGCCACTAATTTATTTCCACAAGACTTTGTTCCCAATAGGCTATGTTGGCATTGATAGTGGAAAGGAATGACATAAGTTGCATTATTTGGATAGTTTAAAATAAGGTATAATGGAATGGAACCTGGTGGAATCTATTTCATCCCATTTTATCCAACACCTCAACTGTTTCATTCCTCCCTGCCCTTCCTTTTGGGGTATAGGATGGAAACAACTTACTACTTACTAATCTACATTCCATCATAAACGTCCAAATAATTGAATAGTAATGTTATTCCATCCCATTCTACAAATCGTTAGATATGCAAACATAGCTGTAGGTGTAGGATGATTTAAATACATAAATACATACGGACTAAGGAATGAAATGCTCAATTAAAGGTTTGGAGTCTTATAATTTAAGTTTAGTTGTCAAGGGCAATCATTGATTAAGGATTTAAACTTAAAAATGGTTCACCTAATTCGTCAAGTTCTTAATAATTAAAGTTTTACAACCCTCAGCTTCAATCCTGAGTAACTTTCCATCAATGGACATAGGAGCTATTACCCACAACCAATAAGGAAAAAACTAATGGATACATATGACACTTGAAAGCAAGGAAAACAACACTTTTTAAGATAAAAATTGACAATCATGGACAGGGAAAGTTCTTAGCTCATTGCTTTCTTACACAGATGCAGTAGTACCAACAACAGAACCAAAAATGCCTTCAACCAGCATGCCAATTCCCTGCATTTAGAAGGGGGAAAACAAGAGTTTGTATCTTTGTATCATAAATGATGCAAGCATATCAAGATTTTGCAACAATGTGAAAGAACAATTAAATTAATTCTTTAGAAGCAAGATGATTAAAACCTCACCTGAAGCCCAATGCTTCGGCTGAGCACATGTGCAGGCGGCGGTGTTGCACCAGAAAGTCTGGCTGCGGCAAAGAAAGCACCAGTCGACTGCATTCAAAATTTCATCGTGAAAGAAGCCCCACATTAGATCATCATCATCAGTTTGATGACAATGGATTGAAAGTAGCGGTAACATAGACCCAAAAAATTAAGATCATTTTCCAGAGGGTAAAGTTGTCAAATATCTTAAAAGTCAAAACTAGGAGCATATAAACTATCAGAACAATTTGAACAATTAAACATATTAAGGAAAAGTTGCTAGACCTCTGCAGAAGAGACAAGTGCTGCCCCCATCATCCCAAAGACATGACTAGCACTGAATATGGGGGTACCCCACTGGAATGGATATGGAACTTTAATCCTGGAATGAAACCAATTTAATCATTATCATAAAGCTCCAGCAAGAGCACTCAAATTAAAATAAACCGTTAAATTGACTGTTTTTTAAACATACCAAGGAGCAGAAGACATAAGGTATGAGCGATCCGTGCGACAACTCATTTGTGTCTGTTTTTTAGCAGTATTGTAAGCACCAGCCACAGTAAGGATGGCAGCAAACGCCCAGATGACAGCAATGCAGAGAAGTAAAGCAAACCTCTCAAGTACTTGATGAGCAGTTGGATGAATGCGCTTCAAATACTGCAGGGCCAGGAAGAAAAAAGGTCTTATCAGTATTAGAGAAAAAAACTGCTAAGAATTTGCTTCAGAATAGATATAAAACCTGCTGTGTTATGACCAGAAGAATGAGCATAGGTAATCCAATCTGCACACAGTTTGCAAGCTGCACGAAAGAAGAAAGTTAAGTTTTCGAACTCTCTACTTATATTTTTTAGTTATAATAAATAACTCATATATTCATGGAAGTGTATTAGGAATATTTACCAGCGGAAAGCCCCTCGAGAACAGACCAAGACCCACCACACATACCACAGGTACAATAACTATGGGACTAAACAACCTGAAAAAGAAAGAATCACCAAACGATAATTAATTAATTAAAAAAATAAAGCAGTTATTTTAATGCAGCTTTTGACATAGACCATGAACTGTAAAGTTTATAAAAGACAAAGGGTAAACAAGCCAAAACTGATGATTGACACAAATTTACCTTGTTAAATTTCCCCATGTCTTACTATACCCAAGGAAGATATTGACGAAAGAAGAAACAATAAGGGATCCTTGAATTGTTCTCACTGTGTAGGTAAACCTCTACAAGTACCAGTGTCATAATTCATTAGCAGTTTGAATCACCATTTTCATGTTGGAGAAGGAAATTCAGTTAACAAATGAGAAGACAAGTATACACCATTCAAACTGAAGTGAGTGTGTATTCAGTTCCAGGAAAGAGCAACAAAATCCCACAACAAACATTTGAAGAAAACCAAGAATAAGATACATTCTGAAACGAAGAGACGATGATGCATTCAAACAAACAAAAGAAACAAAGAAAACTAAGGGTCTAACTATCAAGTGCCAAAGGGCAGTTAAAGAATCAATAAATATATAAAAAAAATTATTAGAAATCATGGTGGGGGTACATTGGTAACATTAAATGTTACATGTTTAAATAAAAACTATTGAGTGTCTTTAGCATTCTCAGAGAAATAAAGGTAAAAAGGAAGATCATCTTAAATAGCCAAGTACAATTGAATTCAGCAAACATAAGTTGCAACAACAACTAAATTCTTGTAATATAACAATGAGTTAAAAATAAATAAATATAACATTAAAACTTAAAATTTGAGAGTCAAGAAGCTGTTAGCAACATAAACAAACCTCGTGCTCGGAAGAGAATGTTTTGTCTGTGTAATCATTTATAATGGACAACACCGGAAGAACAAAAGCAACCGATCCACCCATCACCGTTGGAAGTCTTGACCCAAACCAAGTCTGAAGCAGTGTGTTCACCCCAGACATAAACAACAATGTCTGAATCACACGAGCTTTGTCACCCTGTACCAAAATAGCAACGCTTGTTATTGTTTTACTATAATTTGTTTCACTGGATGATAAAGTATACTTAAAGCAACGATAATAGTATAGAGTAACCGGTTTTGTTAACTCCATGCTTTAGAACTGATTTTAAGCATAAAAAAGTAGTAATTTTTAATTGAAAAAAATTACCTTGATTACTCTTTCATTTAAATACATTCCATTTTATAAAAAATTGACACTTTTGATTGCATGTTAACATTTTCCTAGAGTAATTTATACTATAAACATTAAAAAGCACTTACAGGGTCCCCACCCATTGCAGGCACCAGGGTGGTTGCAATCAGAACCGTTGTTCCAAGCATCACAATGTAGTGTTGAAAACCCAGCAGAAGTGCTTCCGCTGCAAAAAGTTTTTAACGAAATCAAAAGATGAGGCTTTAAGAGGTACCGTCACAAACACGAATCCATAATTAAATAGAAAATTTTTCATTTTCTACACACCGAATCACGTAAGAGATTCATACAAATGACAAGGACAAAAAACAAAGAAACTTTTTCTTAAGAGAATCAGACTGGAATAAAGGTAACAAAAAGCAATCTGCAAGTAAACCAAGATATATAGATAGAGACATGAAACTGAATCATTCTCTTTTGTCAAAAATAGAAATTAAAAAGTATATATTTTACAACCCTTTTAAGTTCTAAGCCTCGACACGAAATTCCCAACTGTTTATAACATCAAAGGAAACATTTTTTTCTTAATCTTGTGTCATAAGAAAATAATTAAAAAATGAAACAGAAAGCTAGAACCGACACAGTTAAAGGGTAAGAGAGACTAACGCCATGAAGGATTAGAGTGGATGCAATAGTGAAGTTGCAAGAGTTGTTCAGCTGGATTCCAAATGGGTCCTCTAGAAAGAGCTAGATTAGGCGGCGGTGGACCCGCCGGAGGTGCCTGCACCGGTGGCGGTGGCTGGTGGTTCTCTGTCTCACCCATCTCTTTTACCAAATCTCGTTTATTTCACAAAGAAAGTGTGTGTATGAGAGAGAGAGAGAGAGAGAGTTTGTGGGTATTGAAAAGCAGAGAAATTAGAAGCAACAATGCATGAATGAATGGATGGAATGGTTATTACTATATTTGAAAGAAAGGAAAGGAAAATAAAATAATTAATCAAAGTGAAGAAAGTCTTTTTCTTTTATCAAAAAAGAAAGAGTAGTGTAAGTAATTTTCCAGAAAAATACCCGGAAACAGTGAAGGAACGAGTTAAGGTTGCGTTTTATGGTTGTCGTGTTGTGAGAGAAGCATTTTTTTATTAATTTATTTGTTTATTTTGTATTTGATAGTGTTAATGAGAATGGATGGGTTGAGCGCGTGGAGGTTGCAGTGTTCGAGGTGCTCAAATTTGCACACACTTCGCCAACTCACTTTAGCATTCTACTTCTTCAAAATAACGATAATGCCACTCTGGTGTTACCAATGCTCAGATTGGTCAATGCCTCTATGCCTCTTCCCCGCATCGGTCAAATGCAACGTCATTCAGAAAAGTACTATGCAATCCCATGTAACCTACAAATTTGTAGAGTCTTATTAATTCATATTTATAGAGAACTACTTAAAAATTAATAAATAAATAACTTATTAATAATATCTTGATTCTTACTAGTAATGCTAAAAGTGGTTAAAATTTTATAACAAATGTTTATAAGTACATTAAGGAAACAAAAAATTAATGAATTTACTCTACTCTTCATTACGTTCAATGTAATTTTTAATAAATTTATTTATTTTTAATTAATATCCTTAGAAGAAAAACTAATAAGTTACTTATCAAAATCTAAATATTCAATCTGTGTCAATTAAGGTAAAAGTTATTTGCTCTTTTGCTTTTTACTGGTCAAATTTAAAATAAGTTTTCATTTTATTTATTTGTTCAATATAAATTTAAGATAATATTCATTAATAAATTTTTAATTATATTTTTCATCTATTTTAAACATTTTGAACATTTAGTATAAATAAGTGTAGAATTATAGTGAAAGTTATACATTAATCATACTGTTTAATTTGCATATTATATATCTTCCAAATATTTTTTTTTAATATGTATCAAATTATACTTATAAAGAAATCAATATTCTTTTTATAAGGTACTTTAAGTAAACTATATAAACCAATCAAAGGAATTGATTTTTTTTAAAATATTACGATAATTAAATTTTAACTTTATTTAATATCATTGAATATTATCTCACGGGTCATATTTATCTTTATTTATTTTAATTTTGATCTTTACAACTCTATTTATTAAATAATAATAATAATAAATATTTAATTATAATTATAATTATTAAGGTACCTTTAAAAAATAAATAGAGGGAACAAATAACAAGTTCTGATTAAAATTATAATATTTAACATTATTAGTAAGTTTAATCTTATAATTTTTAATAAAAATTTGGAATAGAAAAATTTTTATCATCTTACTAGATATACATTAAAAAAATAGAATAAACAAATAAAAAGAACGAAAAAGCATAAAGTAGTTAATCTTATTTCCTAATATATTCAATGTTCAATGATTAATGTAGCCCATTAAAATGCAACTTGTCCAAAATGAATAATGAAAGGAAACTTGATTCGAAAGCTTTATGTATCCCTTTCCATTGTCGCATTATACAAAAACTTTTACAACAGAACTTTTGGATGTAAATCATTAATCACAGTATGAAGTCTTTTATCAATTGTTATTATATGAAGTTGTTATCAATATTGAATATTTATGGTGTGACGTCAATATTAGACTTTTGAATAATAATTATAAAGAAAATAATTATTAATTTAATAACAAATAATTGAATACGACAAAATAAATATGTATTTGTCATAATTTTTTAATCTTGATACTTTAATTTCAATTGCATTTTTTTTACTGTTTTTACTAATAAAAAATTAGTTTTTTACAATTAGTTTTTACATTAGATAATAATTAATTAGTCTAATAAAATATGTAGTGATATTTTTTAAAATATTTTAATATTAATTGTTAAAATAATTAATGTAAAAAAATTTAAAATTTTCAAAATTATATAAAATATATATTTAAAAAAAAAGTCTAAACTCTCAAAGAATTTAAGTTAAATAAATCTCAAAAAAGTATATGAAATAGATATATAAATACTTTTTGCATAATTTATCCTAATTTTTATGTATAATTTTTCTAATAAATTTAAACATTTTGATTGTCAACGTCTTAAATACACGTATATTACGATAGGTTTCAACATTTTAGCTTCAATTTGTTTCAAAACATTCTTATAATTTTGCCACATGAGAAATAAGACTTAGAACGTTTGAGATAATAAATACGGTTGCCTTTCGTAACCGAGCTACATTAGTTTATATTATTTAAAATTTTTTTAACGTTATACTAATTAATAGACGTTGAATCTGTGGAGTAAACGCAAAATGGTTATATTTTAAAAATTTATTCATTTACTTTTTAATTTATGCTGAATTTATTTAGATAATCTTCATTGATATATCTTAAACTATTTTTAAAATTAAGAAATCGTAAACATAGTTTCACAGTTGGAAGAGTGAAATAGTGTATGGTATTTTTGCTAATAAGAGATTTGTCCGATTAATTAACCCACTTATCTAATAAAACATGCAATTAATTAATCTCGATCAAGTGGTTAATATAATACGAAATGAAACAAGCGAGGCATCAACTTTTTCAAAAGATTTTATCACCTATGTTTGAAAAATGTGTTTTGGTACAAAAAAACAAAACACCAATCAATTAAAGCATTATTTGATGTACCTCATTCACATTCTCCCTCACAAACTAGCATTTCATCATGCAACATACCTATAACTTTAAGTGTTTCTCTTATCTTCTTTGTCTCACGTGTACCATCCAAGATCTCAATCCCACAAAAAGAATAGAAAAAAAAAGGGAAAAAAGAAAAACACGAGTTTATCAATAAATGAGTACCTTGCACATAATCATATCATCATGCATTAGGTGTCCCACCCTTAAAGGCCACAGTTAATCCTAATGATATGATCAGTTACCTATTTAATTTGAATTTGAATTAGACTTTATCTCGGAATTAAATATTAAAGTTCTTTTTATCTATTTTAATATGCTTGAATAGTTCCACTTATACTTAAATAGTTGAAAGTTTGAAACTAGCTACAGACGATCTCATGCAAATAGCATTATGGGTGAAAATTAAAAAAACCATATAATACAAAAAAACCATGTTTTATAACAAAAATACAGTATTGCCATTGCAGTGCGTAAATTATAACATATCTCCAATCATATAGAGACTATTTTCATTTCTATTTGAATCATGGTTTTAAATTATAGTTTAAGACTCAAAATTATGTTCAAACACGACTCAATCATAAATTTATCATGTTTGTGAATTAAACTCATTTTACGTTTTTAAAATCATAATTTTGAGTTCGAACTGTATTTAAATATGTATATATATTTTGTTTGTAGAAATTGTTAAAACTTAGGGGTTTGTAACTTGTAATAAAAGTTTATAACTGTTTAAATTGAACTAAAAATATTTAAAATTATTCATTAGCCCAATTAATTTAAATATATTATATGATAAAAAGTATATGATTTTATGTTGATATAATGTTGTCAATTATATAATTAAATTTTATTTATTCATTTATTTATATTAATTATTAATTAAAAATGATAGAAAAAAAAAACAAAAGGGTGGAGAAGAAGAAGAAAAGTAGAAAAAAATTGTCAGAGTTGTAATTATTATAAGAAACTAATTATTTAAATATTTAAGAATAATAAAATTAAAAACTAAATTATTGATAATTAGTTTTTATAGACTAAACACACTTTAGATAATTTTAAAAAAACAACTATGTCTTAAATATTATAACTTTTATCTACTTTAAAAGAACTCTAATTATATTTTTATCAGGAAAAAAAAAAAGTTGTGTTCTTTTTATACTGGATAGTAGAGCTAAACCCTATATTCGATTTCTTCAAATACAGGGTTTAGAGTATGAAAAATATAGGCAGTGTTGCTTGTACACAAATAACTCTCTCACGATCGATCACATCAATTTTTTTTCGTTTTCTCACCATTTTTTTCTATTTTTTTTTTCGTGAATTAAGGTGTAAATTATTATTAATTATATTACTGTACCATGCAGTATAGTTAGTGGCAATGGGGAGGCAGACACCATTTTAGGATTTAAAATCTCGCTCCAGCACGTGGAAGCCATGTGAGCAAGGAATATTACGTGTCCAATTTATTATATTCGTTTAATGGTATTTTTTTATAATAAATATTACATCTTAAGTAAATCAATGAAATGTTACCGGTAAAACGTTAAATAAAAATTAATATATGTTTATATAATATCTAAATTTATTAATTTAATAAGATGGAGATTTTTTGGTGAAATAATTAAGAAAAAAAAAGTTATTCATATTTTGCTATGTATTAAGATTAGCAATGCCAAAGCACCGACCTTAACCGCAAAATACGTACGGCAAAGCTGGTGGATCTCTTTAGTTTATTATTACCCATTTTTGGATTTGAATTAAAAAATTGAAATCTGACGAACCCAATAAAATCTTTGCAGCACCGCGTTATAACTTGAAATTGGTAAATCCGTACATAGATTATAAAACAATGTGACTCACACGTAAGCCTCGTAAAGAATCTTCACCCAATTCAGGTTCCCCTCTAAATGCCAACAAATTTAACAATTCTTTTGTTTTCAACTTTATTTTACTTTTGTTTAGACATTTGATTGATTCAAATCAAGTTCGGTAAAATTATTATGAGCGATAAAAAATCATTTCATTCTAGAGAGCATGTTAAATAATGTGTTTCTAATGTTATTTTTATAACGAAATAATGTTTAGATTTATTTCAAAAGAAAATGATATAACATACATAACTTGAACAGTTGAAAAGCACGGTGGTGGTTGAAGTGGTAAACAAGCACTGTGTATAAAGATACGCTTACTAGGTGGTAAGTGGAGCCAACTTTCGTTTAACAACGTGCTTCTACGTACAGATACAAGTCGGTGGAAGACAAGCAAGAGCTGGCGTTGACATATCCATGGTTTCAGAACTTTATTTAAATAACACCCGAAAAAAGAAAGATATTAAATGAGCCTCCAAGGTGTTTCACTTCGCATTACATTTGTTATTGTAAATTTTCACAAAATAATTTTTTTTAAGAGTAAAATTTTCTCACACTAATATAAAAGTTTACAAATTTTTATATTTAATTTAAAACTTTTATTTATCTTATATTTAATAAGTTATAATTTATCAATTTACTGATCATTAGATATAAATTAAATAAAAAATTTAAATTAAATATAAATTTTTTTAAATTTACTTTAATATGAGAAAATTATTCTTTTTAAATTTACTTTAATATGAGAAAATTATTCTTTTTTTTTTCTAACATGTGAAATATTATGCAAAATATAAATATATATATATATAACAATTTTTTATTAACAATTGTAAAATATATCATTTTATTTAATTACATTGAATTTTATAATTTTTAATAAAAATTACTAGATATAACATGTTATTTTATGTAATGTTCTACATGAAAAATCGTTTTAAAAAGCATAAATCCATGTCAAATTCATATCAGAATCACTATAAAAACACATGCCTCCTTACCTTGATACAAAAAAATATGGAAGATAAATAATGATTAAATTTTGCTTCTTTTTTTTTTAAAATTCCCTTCTGTTGTGAAGCAACCAATAATCATCGTTAACTGAAAAATACTTGGCAAATTGCTGGTTACAGCCACAGGGTGGCTCAAACCGAAGGTAACGCTTGAGTGCCTGGTTGATTTGAAGTTACATAGAATTAATTTTGAACCATTAAATGTGATTGAAATTTTGCATTGAAACATGAATGCAGTGAGAGGAATTGATTTTGACAGTTTAACAAACAAGCAACTGTTTGGATCATGAGATGCTCAAATCTTGGTGCAAAATTTCAGAAGTATAGTTCAAATTGCTGGTAACTAGTTGCTACTTCTGGTACCATTGAATTAGGATCCTTTGCATCGAGGTCCTTCTATGTACGGTTCATTATGTAGGTCCTGTGCTACTGTGTATTTTGTGGGTCAAGATTCACACAGAATTGGCTAAGATACTATAAAGCTCTTAGATCAAATATACGTCTAGAGAGAGCAAAAAGCCAAGGCCAAGATCAAGATTCATATTGAAATAATAATCCGTAATACAATGTGCAAACAATACAAGACTTCCTCAAAATTTCAGCATGTCACAATGACATTACATTAAGGTAATGTCATATCCAAATAGGGATGACAATGGGTAGGGTATAAGTAGGGTACTACAGTACCTATCCCCATACCCGCGTTTAAAAAAAATATCCGTACCCGGCCCCATACCCGCGTGGGTATGAACATTAATCCCCGTATCCGTACTCTCTGGGTACCTACATACTCGTCTTGTACCCATTACCCGCGCTTGTTTGAGAAAAAAAAATTTATAAAGAAAAATATGTTTATATAATTTCACATAAATAGCATAATAATGCAAAAATTCAATATGTAGTTATCGAACAAGGTACAAATATAGATAAAAAATAAATATTCAAAGATCATAAATATTAAATGTATCTTAATATAATAATTTTCTAAACTAAAATTTTTAGAAACAATAAGCAAAACTAAACACACAAGTTATTTGTCAGTGATAATCCTATCTTGTGTGAGATTTGATTGATTGGTAATGTCAGAACGACAACGAAATAAATCTGTATAATGGTTGTCCCCTTCGTATGGGATCACTTAGTAACCTCTTGTGACGGCATTAATAACTAACTCTAATGAATAACATTTCATAGTTATTAAGTTTTAGTGAGACAGACATTGAGAATGAGAATAGAGTTAGAGTAGAGAAGTTCAATACTAACAATAGAAAGTTGATACATAAAATATTTTTTTTAACTTTTGAATTTGAAATTGTAAGAAAAATAATAGATTTAATTAAAATAATATAATATAATTAATATATATATATATATATATATATATATTAATACTAGTATTTTTTAACTCATATACTATATGAAAGTATTTTATCAAAAATATAAATTTTTGAAAAATTATTTTAGTGAATTAAATATTTATAATGTATATAAATTTAAAAAAAAGAATTTAAAAAAAAGATAAATAGTTACAATAAAATTTTATAATAAAGAAATATACGTGTATATTAAAAAAATTATACTTTTTTATCTTAAAAAAATTAACAAATAAAAATTAATAATAATTTTTTATATTTATATCTTTTCAAAAACTTCTTTGAATGTGAATAAATAGTAAGAATAATATTATTTAGATTCAATAGATTATAGTTGTGCTTGTAATACATATGTTGCATAGAAAAATATTATTTTAAATTAAAATATAAAAATAAAATTTAAATATTATTAATAAATAATAAGTTTACGATAATAGTAGGTGATTGTAAAATTTATAATATATTTATTATTTATCATTCACTTTATGATTTAAACATCAATATAATTTTATTAACAAAAATATTTGTGTAAAAAATATTTTATGTGTGTCATATATAAATAATATTTAAAAAAAAGTCAATCTCATATTAACTATGTAATAATTAAATTGTGTTAGCCTAATTAAATGATATAAAATAGTAAATAAATTTTTCTATTAAAAATATAAACCAAAATAAATTTTTTGGTTTACTTTATTATTAAATATATTTTTATATTAATCTTATATAACTTCACATAAGTAATATAATAATACAAAAATTCAATTCATAATTGTAGAATAAAGTTCAAGCATATATATATATATATATATATATATATATATATATATATATATATATGCGGGTATGGGGCGGGGTGGGTACTTAGATACCCATACTCGCACCCATCCCCATTAAAATTTGTGAGTTTTTACCCACACCCATAACGTACTCGTATAGCGGGTAAATACCCTACCCATTGTGGGTAAATTTTGCGGGTGCCCATCGGGTACTTTATCCATTGCCATCTCTATATCCAAACATAAAGCACAACGGAGATACAATATCTCCCCCCCTAGATTTTTTTTAAATTTTTTTAATAATCAGTACAACCATTTGGCATGGTAAAAAATAAAAAAATAATTCCAAAATGCACACCAGCTTTACTCCAAACTACTTCACCAGACGTACCAGTTAAAGAATTAGGTTCAAATCTTAGAATCCTCCAAAAGCATGCAAAAGTAAATTATGTTCGCTTTTTTCTCCTCTCCTATTTGGTATTTACAAGACCAATCATGTATGTATGCAAGGGTAATATTTCACAAGAATTAATGAACTATTGCATATAACAAGATCAACATAAGAATCTACAAACATGACCTAAAAAGTGTCTAAAAAAGATATTATAACTTACAAGAGTTTCTCCTACCATTTCACATCCAGTGTAAGAGCCTCCGGAGGAAGAAAAACGGGTCTCAACTTCGTATATGACATATTGGACATCAAATTAGCCCAGGATATTGAATCAGATTCAATAAAAGGTTTTAGTTTCTTGATTAAAAGAGGCTCGAGCCTGTTTTCCTCAACTTTGGCCAATATCTCAAACCAAGCTCTTTCAACACTAGGCCTTGTTCTCCAATCAGGAATTGTCCGATTATGAGTGACATTATTCCCTATGTCTCTTTCTAATTCTAAGGGGAACTTTACAACAGCTGATGGTTTAATACTTGCTTTGACATGGCCAAAAAATTGATCTTGAAGTATCTTACGACCAAGAAGACTCCTCAAAATTTTCTCTAACATACTTAATCTCAAACTTAACGAATCAATGGGGCACGCTCGCTTTCGAAACACACGACCATGGTAACATTTTTCTGGAAGCAGCTCAACAGTGTCCTCCGAAATCAATGTAGTTGCTACATATGCATAACGATTCCGAGCTCTATAAGCAACCAATGACGCAGACCTTAATACACGTATTGGAATTAGAGGCATGCATGTTGACTGCTGAAAAGGCCAAAAGTCACTCTTTCCTTTGCTACACACGATGCTTCCATTCATTTGCAGATCAAGATCAGACGAGTAAAACAGAGAAATTTCTTGTGCTCTTGTTACTTCTACCGTAATACCTTCACCCACAAGGATCCGTTTCAAACCCGCATACGAAACGTTCATCTGCCAAAATGCATCAAAACTCAGAATTCACTGAAATATCAAATCTTCTAGCTATGGCACAAGAATTAATGTGGATACAAGGCCTCTTTGGAAGAGCTTATGAAAATAGTTATAACTGTCATAAGCACTTTTTAGCTTATTTTAATAAGCTTCTTAATATAGCTTGTCAGCAGCTTATTTCAATAGATTTCATGATCAAATTTATGCGATAAACCCTCAAGTAAAAAATGGCTTAAATAACCCCTAAATTAAGCTGTTTACCCAAACACACCCATATTATAGACGGCTACATCAAAAACACATTAGAAAATAATAACCAGTCATCAACAGCAATAACTACAGTAAACAGAACACTTGATCTTCTCTTATATATATCTTGGTATTTTCTTCTTTCCTTAAAAAGTCTTTTTGGCATCAAATAAAAATCCACACAATATGTATACATATATAGATCTGAATTAAATACGAAAAAAAGCAATCACTTTACAGGGAGAGATAGCGAAAGGTGGTGAAGGGCATCGACGCGCAACTCAAAGGGACCTTCTAATTTGAGGGTATCGAGAAGGGCGAAGGAACAGAGCCGGTGAATCAGAGACCCAAAATCGTTAAAGGGTGTTCTAAACTTGTTCCACGAAGAAACTTGATCGGAGAATTTGAGGGTCAAGTTGTTTTTGCCTAATCCGATTCGGAACTCGTAGGTTTGGGATGTGCCGAACCTAACTTTACCCACATCCAATTTGATAACTCTGACATCCTTCGAATCCCAATTTTGTTTGGCCGATATTGCCTTCAAAACATCCTGAATTCGATGAATGAAAAACAAAAGAGTGAGATGAAGAACAAACTATTATATATATATATATATATAGAGAGAGAGAGAGAGAGAGAGAGAGTAGGTGTGGATACCTGCAAGATGAGGGTGAGATTGGAAGGGGTGTGTGGAGTGAGAGAAGAAGAGGCAAAGGCAGTGAATTGAAGTACGAAGATGAAGAGTGACAGTTGGAAACGATTCCGATCAGTTATCATCGTCGTCATGTCAACCGGAGTAACCTCCGGCAGCCAAGGTTTCCAAATGTTAGGTTTGCTGTTTCTCAAATCTGTGAGTGAGATTTGCCCAAAATGATTCCGATTATTTTTTCAAGTTTTTTTTTTAAAGTTAAATTCTTTATCACTTTCAAACTTTTGAAGGGTACAATATATGTATTAATGTGTGTGACAACAGAGGTATAATTATTTTTTATTAATAAAATGTTATAATTATTTGATGATAACAGAGATATTTTTTTTAATTTATAAAAAATTATTCTGTTTAGTTTATTGAAAGTTAATTATTAATATTGTTATTGTTATTTTTAAATTTTTAAATAATTTACATCTCTGTATAAGATAATTTTAACTTTTTTTAGTTAGTTGTTTAACTAATTTAGCTAAAAAAATTTAACGCAATCAACCAATTATAAATTATAAGTTTTTAATTAATTTATCAACTATAAATTAAAAATTACAAACTTTTAATTAGTTTTATCATATGAAAGTTTAATCAATTTACACGTTACAAATTATAAATAAGTTATTTTTACTAAATATAACTTTAGTTAACCTAACTTTTATTAGAGATCTATCAAATTTTTATCAACTTTATTTGTCTGTGTATCCTAATTTATGTTTTGATAATAAAGGCATAATAAATTCTATATTTTTTTAATAACTATAAAAGAAAAACAGCAACAATATAATTTTTTGAATGTATGTATAAATATGGTCGATTTATTTATTATTGACTTTGTTTAGTCATCCGACACGCAATTTTTAAGTATCTTAGATTTAGAATGCGTTCATATAAACTATTATTTTAACTATAATTTGTACTGCTTGTTTATACTGGTTCGAAATTCTATTTACAAGAATTACGAAACACGTTATGTAAAAAGCGAAAATTTAATATTTTAGCCAGAATTTATATTCGTACATAATCCGCACTAAATATTTATTTATACAGTTGTGTAAACAAATTAAACATGGTACATGAAAAGATTAAACCATTGTTTTAGGTTCTTCAAACAGTAAGTGTTAAGTATTTTAATTTTTAAAATTTTTAAAACGATACATTAGTTTATTTTTATCTTCATTAAGTATTTAAATATCTAAATTCATACATTATTAATAATTAGTAACAGAGTACTAACATATCACGTTAAGTGACACGTATGATTGATTATGTGACAAAAATAACATCCTATATAATATAATATATGTTTCTATTTCATTTTAGTTTTTGAGATTATTATTTGTTATACATTTTAGTTCCTGAAATTGTCACTCACAAATATTTTAATCCATGATTCTTTAAACTTTTCATCTACTCATCATTTTCTTCTTCATTCTCTATCATTAGAAACTACTCTTGTCGGCCACCATTTGTGTTCTATGTTAACAACAGAGACATTGCTTTAGGTGTTGTTTGGACAAATTTCAACATCATAGTTTCAGTGACTCTTTATATATGAGTTTCAAGTATACATAAAAAAATACGATTAGGTATTTCCTTTAATTATTACTTTTAGGAGAGAAAAGTACTCTTGAATTTGACTATTTCAAGTTGTATTTTCATTTGCCTCGAATGGTGGTGGTATGAAATCATATTTTACTTTGTAAGTTGTTGATTAATCCCCATACAATCACTTGCTTTCATAAGTGTTCTAATTAAACCGTTGCGTTGATGCATTTTTTACATATTTCTTAAGTTTTGACATTGATGTTGTTGCCCATCATTAGGCTTTGTAAGTTTGAAAATTGTCCTCAAATAATAGTTTGTGGGGAGTCTTGAAGGAAACGACAAAGTCCAAGTTTGGACTAAACATAAACTTAGGTTATCAACAAAGAATACAAATGGTGACTGACAATAGTAGTTTTTAATGATGGAGAATGAAGAAGAAGAATGACGAGTAGATAAAAAGTTTTAAAAATTAGGAACTAAAATGTCTGTTGATGACAATCTTATAGACTAAAATATTTGTCGAGTGATAATCTCAAAGACTAAAATGAAATAAAAATATATAATCAATCATCGTCGATGGAGATAATCAATCATCGTCGTTAATGACACATACTCATCGTTTTTTTTCACATAATCAATCATACATATCACTTAACATGACTTGTAAGCATTCTATGACTGCTATTAATGGTATGTGAGTTTAAGGACTTAAATGTTCGATGGAGATAGAAGTTAGGAACTGTCGTAACATTTTTAAAATGTTAGAGACTAAAATGTCTAACATTTACTATTTTATAGACCAAAATGAAGTTTTAATCTACGTAAAAATGAGTAATATATCAATTGCTATAGTACAAAATTACAAGTACAAACAGATCCTAAACAATTGTTGAATGCTGACATATTTGATTTTGTGTCAAATTTATTTAAATATAAATATATTTTAACATTATAAATTATAATTTTTATGTAAAAATATAGTTTAATGTGATTTTATTAGATTTATAAAACACACTTAATTAACACACAAAAATTACACTCATAATTAATACACTACTTATATTTTTCCTCTACCTCTTTTTCTTTATCTTCATTCTTTCTCTAATAACATGTGTTTTTGACACCACTAATCTTGTTGTCACTCGGTTACTTTTATTATTGTCATTACACTATTCCTTTGCTGTTATCTTGAATGTTGCATTACTCTTAATAATCCTATCATAGACCACCAATAATGTCTTTTACCATAGTAGGAACAACATTTTTCCCTTATAAAGTTGTGGCAAAGTATGTTAGGAAATCTTTCATTCCTTATTGTCAAGTATAGGTTCGTGCATGTTAATCCACACACCATTATGTTTCTCTGTAAACTTTATAATGTTTTCAAACTTGCCAATCATAGCGCTAGCCTTCATGTTGCGACACAAAATGTTGTAATTTGTGTTTATCATTAATAATGAGTTTTGTGGCTCAGGGCAACGACCACTACTCCCTTTTACTATTTAGTATTTTGAAGAAAATAAAGAAAGAAAAAGCAAAAAAATTAAAAGAGATTGAAAAAGAAGATGAATGAGAGAAAGGAAAGGAAAAAGTGAGAGAGAAAAAAGATAAATAGTTAGGACAAAAAGACAAACAAATAGAATTAATACTTTTAAAAAAAATAACTTATTTAAAACATGTTTAAAAGTTATAAGATTAAAATGGTAAAAGTAAAATTGGAGTATGAAATTTAAACTTACTTTTAAATTGAAGGATAAAAACATTAATTTAAATATTATATATATAAGTTAAATTTAAATAAATAAATAAACATGTAGAACAGGAAAAAGGCTTTAGCATTAGAGAGGACATAAAAGAGGGATAATGAAAGGTATTGTAAAAAGTAAGTAATTTTTTTAAGGTCCCTAATGATATATAATAAAAGTTTATATGTAAATACTTTATTAAAAAAATAAAATATCACAAAAATTAATGTATTAATTTTGTTAAAATTTCTATTTTAATAAAATTATAATTTTTGAATTTTTAATATGCGTGTTTGAATACACAATAAAAAATTTCTATTTTTGTTTTCAAAACCTCAAATTCTGAAAATAGTTTTAAACTTAATGACAACATCAATACCAACATAGGACCACCGCTTAGGCTACCTGATTAGATCAAGATGTCCTTGAAAGAAAAAGTCCTAGGAAGACGAGCCAAAACTCAAATTAATGCAGGTAACCTCATTCAGCATGACCATATGAGGATGGAGTTAGTAGACAAGAATCGCCTGCTTTCAAATTATTGAGAAAGACAGTAAGATTTCTCTTGTTGAAGCAAAGGTTGATGACCACTTAAAAACTATCTGGTGACTTTAATTTGATGGACGTCAGTCACGACTTTTACTTAGTAAAATTTGATCTTGAAGAAGATAAGGAGAAGGCCATCAATGGTGGCCCTTGGCTCATGTTTGATCACTATCTCACAATGTAACATTGGACACTTGATTTTGTAGCAGCTTATGCAAAGATTGACAAGAGTCTTGTCTAGAATTTTATGATGAAAGTATCATGTTAACGCTCGCTTCAACGATGGGCACTCATATCAAAGTTGACATCAAAATAGTTGATATGATACGAGAAAAGTTTGTTAGAATTTGTATTGAGATTGATTTAGACAATCCCATGGTGGGAAAACTCTGGCTTCGAGAAATGTGGCTGCTACAGCTATGTAACTCGGAACTACACTACATCATTTATTGCTGAACTAAGAAACATTACTAATGATGGTAACCCTTCATCATCGAGGATGGCAAAAGGATCCACTATTCCAGCTAATGATGTTCCTTAATCATTAGACTATATAAAAATTGTGAAACAGTCACAAATAAGCAACAAATTCCCTCATTTATAGATTTTCAAACGCATAGGGATTGGTTGGTTGTTAAAAAAATGGAAACCGAAGTCTAAAGGGGTCACAACAGAAAAGGAAGAGACTGCCATCCTTTAACCCATTTTAGACTTTAGCCAAGGATTGTGTTGTTGAAGAGGAGTTACAAAATAATAGCTTTGTCATTAGGTCTACTAGTGGGGTCAAAGTGGACCCACCATGCAAATTTGAAAAGAAACGCATGAATGGAGAAAGCAACAATCAGGACTCACCTTTGGATGGTCATGTCAATTAGCACGTTACTCTTATTGTGAAACCAAAGCAGCTCCAAGTTGCAAGCCCACAGTCGCACAGTGCTTCTTGACTCGCTAGAATTGTTGTAGGAAAGACAATATATGACAATGAAGGAGGAGCACAATCCATCATGCAACTATCTCATATATCCAAAAACAAATATGTGTTCATGGATCATGATGTGGATGAATTACTTCACAAAGGGAAACCACTTGATGTGAAGATGGGGTTTGTCAAGGAGGATCCAAGGATCAACGAGGATGTAGTGTTGTTGGGATTGGCACAAGATGAGTCTGACATGGAAGTTATTGGCAACAACCCATCTAATTGATAGTGTAGATTTTTCTTTTATACTTCCCTATGACTAGTAGACAATTTAATATCATTTCATGGAATATTCGTAGGGCCCTGTAATGTCCATGGTCAATGAAGTGTAAAAGATTTCTTGCGAATCTTTAAACTTGATTTGCTTATTGTTATGGAAATGCATTGTACTTTTAATACTACA